AAGGCAAGTAGGAATTTTTTCCCAAAGCAGAGCAAGATTCCTCACCAAGACAGCAGCCAGTTTACCTGAGGACCATCCTTCCTATCTGGTCTGTCTCAGTGGAGAGAGTCTGCAGCTTCTCCGGAGGCACAGAGGGTCGGATCCACAAGAAAGCATAGCTGGGGGACACCAAGTCCTTCAGACGGCTAATGTGGCCCTAGGGAAGGAGCAGTTCTGAGAAGCAGAGCCCAGGAGAGGGAGCCTCTGCCGCCTTCTCCCTGCCATGTCCTGTTCCCTTGGACGATGTCCTTCAGCTAGTGCTCTGCTCAACTTGCCAAGTAGCCCCATCCTGACAGCACACAAGCATCACAGCTATTGACAAACAGATCTGACTTTCTAGGAAAGGATTAAATGCCCTTTTATCCAAACTGCCCTTAGCTTAGTATAGACCAGTGGTGGCGAACCTATGGCACGGGTGCCAGAGGTGGCACTCAGAGCCCTCTCTGTGGGCACGCACGCCGTCGCCCCAGTCCTTTTCGCTTTAGGCTTCTGCTGCCATGTGCAAAAAAAAGGTTCAATCAATCAGTCAATTTCAACTTCTCGCGGGAGAAAAAAGATCTTGCAAAGTTGGAATTGATTGGTTGAATTATTTAGTCCCACCCAGTCGGCCGTTACTACCGTAGCCACACCCACCCAATGGGCCACGCCCACCCAATGGGCCACACCTGCCCGGCACTCAACGATGCATAAGCGGGTTTTGGGTTGCAGTGTGGGCACTCAGTCTCTAAAAGGTTCACCATCACTGGTATAGACCAACAGGCACCCTTCCCCCCCCCCAGAGAGAATTCACATATATGGGGCCACTGTCATTTGGCAGGAATCCAGAGACTCCTCTGAAAACAAAGTGCTTCCGACTTACTCTCCTCAGCAGGAGCACTTGCTCTACGTAATCCTTTTCAAGGACCTCCGTCTCTGGGAGCTGCTTGCCGTAGACTTCCTCCACGGAGGCCTGAACCTCTGCCACAAGCTTCTGCCGTAGCCCCTCGTCTCCAATCTGCTGGGCCAGATGAATCCTAAGCAAAAGAATGTACTGGATGCAGGCAGAGGCAAAACGGGCTTCTTCGGGGAACAAAGCCACAGCAACCATTCACACGAATGGCCCACTACTCCCAACAACCACCCCCAGTGCAGCCCTCTTGTAATGCAGAGCAGCGGGTTGACCCCCTCTTCTTTGTGGCCGCCCCTTAGAGTGTGTCCAATTTGGCCAAGGCATTTCCTGGACTATTCCAGCAAGACATGCTGACCTTTCCCTCATTACCCCAGTCAATTTCAAGGAGGTGGGGAATGAGTGACAATGGGGCAGGGGAGCCAGCCTCCAAAACACTGAAGAGGGGGCTAGAGAGCAACAGGAGACGTCTGAAGCCCTTTCATTTTCTCCACCTGTTGAATTCTGGCAGTTTCTTCAAATCCAGGAGGGCCGAATGCCTTTCAATCCTGCTCGGATCAAACTCGTCAATCAGCTCCTTTAGGGTTCGTCCCATTCTATTCTCTGCAAAACAGTTGAAGAAGCTGCTGAACCTCTCTTCACAGACACCTGATTTCTACAATCCTCTTTGATTTAAAGGTACCACACTAATTCCTCCTACTTTATCACGGCCTCTTTTATCTGCCCATCCCTCAATTTCCAATCGAGGACAACCTTTCCCACCTCAACATGCCTGAGGAAAGGGGATTTATAGACCGGCTCCTGCACAGTCCCTGCCAGTTGAAAAGTAAGACACAAATGGTTCTGAAAATACACACATTCACCTTACTTCCTCTGCAAGAGGCGACTACATTACCTGCAAACCCTGAGCCAGAGTGTGTCATGAGATCCAGAAGGGCGGCCGGCAAATAGCCATTTTGCGCAAACTCTTCCACAAAAATATGCCCTTGTCTCTTGGAGAGTTTGCTGCCATCTTCGTTCAGGAGCAGTGGAAGGTGCCCAAAATGAGGTGGCTCCCAGCCAAATGCCCTATAGAGGAGGAGGTGTTTGGAAGTGGAGGTGAGCCATTCAGCTCCACGCAGAACATGACTGATCTCCATCAGGTGATCGTCCACGACATTAGCCAGGTGATAGGTTGGAAAGCCATCGCTCTTCAAAATCACTGGATCACCTTCCACACTGGCCACCTCATGCCTGCTCCACCCATGGATTAGATCGCAAAAGGGATCCGACTGCTCTTCCAGATGAAAACGCACCACGTAGTCAACACCTTGAGATATCTTCTCAGCAACCTCTGTGGGTTTTAGGTGACGGCACCTATTGTCATACCTGTAGAGGAGAAGAACTAGAGTGCGTTAACTCTGCAAAACTAAAGTTACTCCTGTTTGTTTAAAGTAGCTTCCTCTTCCAACCACAAGTAAAAAAGGAGTCCCTGCGGATTTTACTCCGCCGGTCATTGCCGACTTTAGGGGACAGTGTTCATCTCCGTTTCACCAACCACAGGAGAAAGCAAGAATTTAAGAGTCTGATGCTAAAGTTTAGCCTCACTACGTCAACAGTCCTCACCGTGGAGTTTGCTGACTGCGCAATGCTTCCTTCTTTAGTAATTCTAGGCGCTGGGGTGTGCAGAAACAGCGATAGGCAGCCCCTTTCTCAAGAAGCAGTTCTGTGTATTTCTTATATAGGTCACATCGTAGGGATTGTTGGTAAGGGGCGGCAGGGCCTCCCCGGCGAGGGCTCTCATCTGGTGGCAGGCCTGCAGGCAGGCAACAACTATGAGCAAGACAGAGTGATGACAAAAACACAATCCAGCCCAATCCGTTGGCAACACAGGCTCTGCCCCTCCACCCTCAAGGAGCCCCGTAAGCTAGAGAAGAGCTCAGTTGGTGGCACATCGGCTGATATGCTATAAGTCTGCACATTTCATTCTAGGAGGCTGAGGGACTAAAAGTTGATCATGTGCCTAAGGTCTCTTTACCAAAAGGATTACAGAGACCCGGGACGAATCAGGCCCCAAGTATCAAGTAATGGCGAGACTTCAAGGAAGGCCACAAGCCTCCCCCAGGAATCTTCCCAACACGAAACAGGCTGATCAACAGGAGGAAAGATATCTCTCTCCACTCTGGACATCACTGCACAGTATTCAGGAATGCACTAACAGACTTGAGGAAGCTGTACCGTTCCTATTGTTGGTATGGGGTTTAAGCCTCCAACAGGACTAGAAACGGAGACCGGATGGACCACTGCTGCCAGGAGGTGTACTGAGCAAAGATCAAGGTCCATACTTTCTACAGTGGCAGAACATCTGCCTCTAATACTCACAAAATGGGTCTGGAACAGGGAGGGATCCCTTGCAGCCACATGTAACCCTTTCCCCCCGCCCCCAACTTTTCTCAGGCCCCTGGAGATCACGGGGGCAACACATTGGCAGAAAAATATTGCCAAAATGATGGCAAAAGGCAAGGCTTTTAAAAGGGATAAAAAAAAAAAAAACCCGGTACGCCTGATCCCCTTCAACAGGCTCTGGTTCCTTACCTGCCCACTCCAATGCATCTTCTATGCTTTCAGAGGCTGCTGATACCACACGGCTTTGATCCGTGTCTTCCAGTCGAAGGATAAAGCTGCCTCGGTGTTTTCGGGCAAAGAGATAGTTGTACAGAGCAGTCCGGAGCCCTCCCAAATGTAGAAAGCCTGTTCAGAGACGATAGCAGAGCTCAGAGGAAATGGGCAGATTAGCACAATCCCTATGAGGGGAGGCTGAGCAGAGTCAGTGACCTCTTCAGCAGAGAGAGCTAGCCAGGGAACACACAGCTGAGATTTCCAGAATCCCAGGGGAAACCATCTCCGCCCTGGGATTCGAAAGGGAGGCCAGGCCCCTCTACCCGCTTAGGCATGCATGCATCCTGGGGGGGGGCTGGGGGGGGGTTAAAAAGGAGGAATTGGGCTCCAACAGGAGCTTTTGAAAAGGAGCAAAGGGAAAGAGCCTGAGAGAAGAATTTGCCCAGATGCAAAGCCTGAGAATATAGAGGGCAGGTGTGGGAGAACAGGCGGCCTGGGCTGCTCCTGCTCTGTGCCTTTAGGCCTCTCCTTAGCCAGCCCAGCAACCGCTGGCTATAAAAGCTGGGCACAGGGGCCTCCCCCGCCGGTGTGGTGGTTTGTGTTCCGTTGTGGAACCGAAGCAGCCTGAAGCAAATAGGGGGGGTTCTCCCCTCCAAAAGCGGGACCCGCAGAGAGAGGTCAGGACCCGCAGCAGGATTGGGCGGCTCAGAGCGGTAAGCAGGGAGTCCCGGTCTTGGCGGACTTGCTTAGGGCTGCGTTGCCTCGAGGCTCTCCCGGCTCTTGGAGCCCACTAACCCGCCTAGGGGTAAAAGCGCCCCGGTGGGGGACCAAAGTGAAGCGAAGCGATCAGCGCCTCCTTCTGGGCCGGGAGGCTGAGAGACCCGCGGAGAAAACGGGGCCTTCGAGCCTCGGTCTCCGCGCCCCTCCCCCGCAGGAAGGCCCTTGGCCGGCGGGAGGGGCGGGGCTCGTCTCGTCTCAGGGATGCTCGGGGGGGGTGGAGCCCAGGACCGCCTCCCGAGGAAGCTGCCGATCCGCCGGCCGGGCCGACCTTCCGCGCCAGGCGCCCCGCATGCAGGCGGGGCTGGCAAGGCCGCCTTGCGGCGGAGGCCCCGAGGGGAAGCCGGCCTTCTTCGGGCGGAGAGCGCCGGCCACGAGACTCACCGGTCGGGCTGGGCGCGAACCTCACCCGGACGGCGCGCGCCGCCACGCCCGGCGCCATGAGCGCCCGCGGACGCGGAAGCCCCGCCTACCCGCGCCGACGCGGGAGGGGCCAGACCGCGCGGGGTTGCTTCCTCCACGCCTCCCCCCGCGCCCAGGGGAACTCGCGGCCACTGGGCCTCCCCCGGCGCGTGAGGCGGAGGTCCCCGGGCCAGGACGCGGCGCTGCGCGGCGCGACGGAGCAGGAAGCGGGAGGCGCCGGAAGTTCCGCGCGCTCCTCCCGCCCAGGCGCCTCGGAGCGAGAGACACCACCCCCCGGTGGGCGGGGCTCTCCGCTGGAGCCCGCCCCTCGGGCGGGACGCACGGCCACGGTGGCCGCCGAGGACCAATCGCAGCGCCCTTCCCGACGCGCCCCGCGGCCGCGCTGTACACAATCATCATGGCCGCCACCTCTGCCTCCCCCGGTGCGCGTGAGAGAGACGGCGGCCGCCCCGTCCCCGCGGCGCGCGAGGCGGGGGCCCGGGGCGGGAGGGGGCCGCGCCCACGGCGCCTCGGTGGAGGCTGCGCGCCCTCGACCCGGCCGCGCCGTCGGCGGGGAGCCCCCGACGCCCGCCCGGCCCGCCGCCCGGCGCCTTCGGCCTGCAGCGGCTTTGTGCGGGGCGGTCGCCGCGCCCGGCCGAGAGGGGGCGGCGAGGGGGGGCCGGGCCGGGCCGCGCAGGGACCCCGGGAGGCGGCCCGCGGGGCGTGGGCGAGGCCGGGCCCGCGCAGGTGCCGCCTGGGTCGCGGTTCTATCCCCGTTTGCCTTGCCTTTTCGCAGACTCGGAGGAAGCCAGCATGGACGCGGAAGTGCGGAACCCGCCGGTGGGCTGCCAAGGCGAAGACGAGAACGGCTCGCTCTCTGCCGAGAAAGCCGAGGAGCCCCAGAGCGACCCCCCCGACCTGGAGGCCTCCGTGAGCAACGGGGGCGAAGCCGAGATGGAAAAGGAGTCGGTGGAGCTGAAAATTATCTGGAACAAAAACAAGTACGACCTAAAGCTCCCTCTGGACAGCACCGGAGCGGAGCTGAAGCTGAAAATCCACTCGCTGACAGGTGAGAAGCCGCCTCTTGTTCCCTGGAGAAGGAGCGCGGCCTGAGACCCGGGAAGACTCCTGTGCTAAGCCTCCGTCTCGGTTTCCTCTCTGGCAGGCCTTCCCCCCGCCATGCAGAAGGTCATGTTTAAAGGACTGCTCCCCGAGGAAAAAACCTTACGCGAAATTAAAGTCGTCAGCGGAGCAAAAATAATGGTGGTGGGCTCGACTATCAATGACGTCTTGGCAGTAAACACACCAAAAGATGCCACTCAGCAGGAAGTGAAGTCCGAAGAGGCCAAAAAAGAGCCCCTCTGTAGACAAAAGGTCAGTTGGAGCCACCAGCTGGTATGGATGGGTTTGAACCTGCTTTTAAAAGGTAAACTCTATTGAACTGGAAAAGGGTTCTTTATATTTTGTTAAGCTGAAGCTTTGTATTTTGGTGGTCCTTCTTTTCCATTAACGCTTCAGTTTTAAAGTGGGTGGAAGCAATCCTTAACAATCAATTCGTTGCCTACCAGCATTGTCATGGACAGGCACTTAATTTTAACTTGTAGAGAATCCCCAGATTCATAAATCTAATTCAGTAATGCTTTTTGGTCACCAACTCACCTTTTGGAGTTGTCCAACTGGCATGAGATGTTTTCAGTCTGTGGTTCTGACATTTATTAGACATTGAACTTATGCCTCATTCTTCATACGTAGAAGGTGTCGGGAGATTTGTCCATATTCCAATAGGGTAGGGCAGTGTTTCCCAAACTTGACAATTTTAAGGCATGAGGACTTCAACTCCCAGAATTCCACAGCCAGCAACGCTGGCTGTGGAATTCTGGGAGTTGAAGTCCACATGCCTTAAAATTGTCAAGTTAGGGAAACACTGGGGTAGGGCAACATTATTTTTCTGAAATTCTGCCAGTTAATTTTACCAGCAATGAGCAAAACAGCCTGTTTCCCAGATAATCCTATCTTTTTTCCCTTTGCTGTTATTTTCTTGCCATCTCACTGACTGGTGGTAGACAAGGTTTTATTTCTTTAACTATTAAGCAATTGAGCATGCACAGGCAGACTATTTTAACCTTTCCAAAACCTTTGGTTGGTTCACCATAAATTATTTATAGCTGTTCTACTTTTTTTGTTGTTGGCTCCTCTTATTGCCTTGGATTTTTGTCAATGCTGATGCTATTAATATTTCCCATGACTTATCACCTCTTGGTATTACCTCCTTCCCAGTCTTGTGACTGAGTTTAGCAGTTCTTACCACCAACATTCAAAGGCTGGTTTTAGTTTTTTTCTGCAAATCCAACCACCTTGATCCTATAATGAGAGAACTCTGTACCTGCAGTAAACCGGAGTGCATTTAAGCAGATGTTCCAAATGTTTTGGTCTCCCCATTCAGAGGTTCTGTGAGCACCTGCACCAAGATTGTTGTGCTGTGCAACAAGTTGCAGAATTTCGAAAGTAGAGGTTGCAGCTTGGTTTGCAGCCTCCAGCTCTGTGAGCACATAGAGAAATATATATTGACCGAAGTAAGAACACATTCCTTCAACTCAACCTTTGAATTTAAAACAGTTGCCTGTACCATCTAGATTTTCTGTGTAACTTCAGCCAGATTATTTGTTGAGAAAAATTCTGCTCCACAAAGAAGAACTGCTGATATGATAAGAACTCTTTGGTGTCTTTTAATTAATATCTGTTTGCACCTTATTTATAGGGTGCTATTTTCTGACTGAAGGTTGCACATCTCAGAATTTTTAGATTTCTCATTAATATGCTGTCAAGTAAGCACAGTGGAAATCCTGCAAGGCTTCTATCGTTTTTTGGTTAATTTTTATTTCTGCTTTACAGCAACATAGGAAAGTATTGGATAAAGGGAAGCCTGAAGATGTGATGCCTTCTGTCAAGGGTGTCCAGGTAAGAAACAAGAATCAAAGGGCCAGGGATTGGCAATTCTAGCTGTTCTGTTCTTACTGAGAGGCAGTAAAGAGAATATAGTGTTTCTCCTTCAATCAATGAATCAAAATAGAGCCGGAAGGGACCTTGGAGGTCTTCTAGTCCAACCCCCTGCTCAAGCAGGAGACCCTATACCATTTCAGACAAGTGATTGTCCAGTCTCTTCTTAAAAACCTTGAGTGATGAAGCACCCACAATGTCTGAAGGCAAGCAGTTCCCCTGGTTAATTGTCCTCGCTGTTAGGAAGTTTCTCCTTAATTCCAGGTTGCTTCTCTCCTTGATAGGCTTCCATCCGTTGTTTCTTGTTTTGCCTTCTGGTGCTTTGGGAAGTAAATTGACCCCCTCCTCCTTGTGGCATCCTCTCAAGTACTGGAGCCCTGCTATCATGTCCCCCCTAGTCCTTCTTTTTTCTAGACTGGCCATTCCCAAATCCTGCAGCCGTTCTACCTATGCTTTAGTCTCCAGGCCTTTAATCATCTTAGTTGCTCTTCTTTGCACTTATCTGGACAAATTTCTGCCTTCTATTGCTTTTGCCTCAATGTCCAGTGTTATATAATACATTATTTAATTTATACAACAAGTTATATATTTTTCTATGTTTATTAAACATGATTAATTCTTTCACTGATAATTTTTCTTTTACTGGAAAACTGCTGTCATGTCACCCCTAGTCCTTCTTTTCTCTAGAATAGCCAAACCCAAATCTTGCAACCATTCTTCATATGTAAGTTGTACTGTAAGTTGCTTTGCTCATAGAAAGCTTGTGTCTCAACCTCTTTAGGAGCGTCTGCCAACCGTTCCTTTATCGGGCATGTACAACAAGTCAGGTGGAAAAGTACGGCTAACCTTTAAACTTGAACAAGATCAGCTCTGGATTGGCACTAAAGGTGCGTGCCCAAGTTGCGTGATTGTTCAGATCCTGAAAGCTCAGCTTTATGTGATAACAGTACTTTGTGATTTCTGGATTATTGTGTCTGAACTGGTGAGCGTCACTGAATCCAATTCACCCGTGAATTGAGCCTGTTTAAGTTGCTCCATTTTGATTTGTGCGCAATATGTGAAGCTTAAAGAGCCAAAACGTTAGTGACAGGAGTGTCTTTTGCTGCCCCTTGACTTGATGCTTTTAGGGCAAAAGTTTCCAGTTCTGAGAAACAGGAGAGCAGCCTCAAGACCGCCTGGAGCCCCCCCAACCCTGCTGCCTGGCACTTGAGGCCCATGGTCTCAGGTGGCTGAAAAGCGAGTGAAGGGCTTGGGCTGCTGAGTGAGAGGCAGTGGTGACGCTCCCGAGAAAAACTCTCTGTGGGATGGGATCCATGGGGCTGTTTTTCTCTCTTGAGATTTCACTGTAAACCGCATACAGAATGTATGTATATGTATATATATTGGTGCTGTTAAGCAATACTGCTCTTGCTGTGAATTCAATTTTAAATGCTTCTAAAATAATTGTGCAAGCTTAATTTTGGTTCGGTAGCATATATTCTGCAATACTTATGACCACAATTGAGCCCAAAATTGCTACCCTTAGTGAGACAGTTATTAAATGAATTTTGCACCATTTTACAGCCTTTCTTGCCACAGTTGTTAAATGAATCACAGCAGTTGTTTAGTTCACAGGTGCTAAGTGAATCCGGCTTCCCCATTGACTTTGCTTGTCGGAAGGTTGCAGTGACCCCGGGACACTGCGACTGTCATAAATATGTCAGTGGCCAGGTGTCTGAATTTAGATCCCCTGACCCTGGCAATGCTGCAACAGTCATAAATGTGAAAATTAGTCATCAGTCATTTATTTTCAGCACCCTTGTAATTTCAAGCGGTCACTAAATGAATTGTAAGTCAAGGACTACCTATATTTAAGCATGTGTTTTAGTTCCTTAGAGCCTTGTGGAGTTGAGTTGAATATAAATTATAGCAAGTAAATCAATAAGTATCTCATAATGGGATCAATGGGCACAGAATGCTTTGCTCCATTAAGTGCAAAATATCTGGACTTTTTCATATTACAAAAACAACTCAATCTGTTTTGTGTGGCATAGTTTATTTTTTGTTAATGTTATATTGAGCATAGTTCAATAATTTTCTTCGCCTACTGGTATTATCTGTTTTGAAGCTATATCTTTGTTTTAAATAAATGTGCAGAATGCTTTGCTCCAGTAAATGCACAATTTGATAATTTTGTTACCTAATTTTGTTTAGAGCTAAGCAGTTGATACTTTGGGTCCTTGTTGAACTTTGAGCTTGGTTGTTCCTACGTATATTTCTCTTCACCAGTGTAGATAGCATCCTTCGGTACAAGGGAGAGTAAAGTTTGCGGCTGGGTTATTTAAAAAGCATTTCTTGTTTAACGTTCATTTAGTCAATGACTGATTCCTGACGTTCTGGACATCGCAGTATGCCTTTGATGGCCATGTGAGCAAACTCCAGCCCACTTACATTTAGGCTTGGGGTCATCAGCTGACCTGCCACACCTCGTACTGCACCACTGCTATACCAGCTGAGCTTCCTTTCACACCAGGCTTCTTTAGCTCCAGCATGGCCAGGGCCTCCTTTTACCCACCAGGCTTCTTCTTGCAAAAGATGGCTCTGAGCAGGGTGTGAGAGAAGCCCCAGCTGCACCGGCGTGTAGTGGCGTGCAGTGTAGCCAGGTGAGATGGCACACAGGGTTGGGCAGCTGGTGGCAAAGGGGAAGGCGGGCAGCGATAGCAGCAGCACTTAGACTTATATACCGTCTCTAGTGCTTTGCGGCACTCTCTGATTGGTTTACAATGTCGGCCCATTGCCCCCAGCAATCTTGGTCCTCATTTGACCGATCTTGGAAAGATGGAAGGCTGAGTCGACCTTGAGCCGGTCAGGATCAAACTCCAGGCTGTGAGCAGAGTTTACCTGCAATCTGCACTCTAAACACTGCGCCACCATGGGGGGGGGGGTGTAGCTCAAGAGGAGGCAGTCCCTTATCAAACCAAGGCTCAGAGCTGGGAGGTACAAAGCTGGTAATGGCTTGCATCAGGGTGAATCCTCACCTAATAACCTGTGGGTTTTGAATAATGATGGTAAAGGGGGCTGCCATCACATAACATCATGGTTTATAACTTCATTGCTTACCGATGGAAATTCCAGTCCCAATTCCCGTCATTTATTGAGGACTAACTGTCATAGCTGGTTTTGATAGTCTTGGTTGGGGTGTTCCACTGTCAAGGAAGAAATCACTCAGCAAGGCCAATCAGTAAACGCCAATCTTCCATGCACTGAAGATGTTACCTAGCCTGGTGATAAACGTACAGGAAAATAACTAAGTTCAGAATATGTAAAGTTTGACGTAGACACTAGTTACTAGAGTTGACCCTTTTATCCAGCCATAGGCTGTGTGTCCAATAAGACAAGAGCGTGTAAAAGATTTAATGATGGTATTTGTACTTTGTCCTTGTAAGATAAGCTTGGTGGGTGGGAGGGGAGAATATGGGGAAATGTGGAACATCAGTTATCCAAACGTTTTGTATCTTTCAATGTAGAAAGAACAGAAAAGTTACCCATGGGATCCATCAAGAACGTGGTGAGCGAACCCATTGAAGGGCATGAAGATTATCATATGATGGTAAGTGGCTTCAGCTGAGAATTGATGCCTTCCCATGGGCAAAGGCAATCAGCTTGAGGGGCTCCAGCAGAGTTTATCCATGGAGGCAGCAGTTCTTTATACCAGGGGTAGCTTGGTCCCTCGACGAGTCAGGACACGTATCTTAGCAACTTTAAAATATTTAAGTAAAGCCAGTTGGGTCTTTTCTGCTTCTTCCTTGTAACAATCATCCTTGGCAGTTGGTCAACTCTCGCCACCAGTTTCACTCTCCCCCATCTGCAGTCATCCCAACTCCCAGACCCTCTGACTTTCAGATGACTCGGGTCTCCAACTGCTGAATGCCAGGTCAGCCTGTAATGGGTCTTCGTCATCCATTATTGTGTAACGATAGATTTGGAATGTTTCACCCAGGCCTGGATGAGCACGGAAAAGGCCCTGGGTTAGCAGCTGACCTCATTCCAAGGCTGGGAGAGGGGTGGAGTGTCTGTTGTCATGTGAGAGATTTGGATGGATTCCAGAGGGATTGTGCCCCCAAAATCCAATATGAGCCCTTCCTATCCGTCAGGATTGTTGCTCTAGTCTTGGCTGCCTGCTATTCTGCAGCTTCCCTGCTCAAGACGGGGGCTGCTCCGGGAGTCTCCTGGACCACGGAGGCTGAATGACTTGCCTCCACTCAGTGCAGAAACCGAAGTGCCCCAGGAATTCATGGCTAGTATGATAACCGTGAACTGAACACAGATCATCAAGCACCCAGGACGCTTTGGTGGGCAAGCCCTGGATCTCCTTTTTGTCTCGGGGCAGGTGCAACACGATCTGCTGAAGAATGTTAATGTAATGTCTGCTCTTGGCTGTGGTCAGACCCCCGTCTGGTTGTCTGGGAGCTTTTGAAATCTTCAGCTACCTGGTGCATCCTGTTAATATCCTGACTGTGTTTGGGGAGTTTTCTGAGGCTCTGAGGGGCAGTTTGACCACAGCCTGATTCCTCACTTGAAATGAGGAAGTGACAAAACATGAGATTGGATGAACCCCGAGTGGCCTCCCCGTCTTAGGGCTTCCTTGCCTTTCGGAGGAGCCCCCAGAAATGAGCAGCAGAGGGCCCTGAAGATGCTGCTGGGGACAGCCAGGCAGGTTCTTTTGGAGGTGCCCTTTATCCCGTGAGTCTTGAGTCTTCAGAATTGTTAGCGCAGCTACCTGTATGGTAGATCCACGTCCCTCTTTCCTGGCAAGGCCGTCGGAAGAAAATGGGTTGCTGCAGGGGCTTCTTCCTTGAGTGAAGGGGTAGTGCGTGTGCCCCCTCCTCAAGAAACCATCACTGCATACAGAGAGAGTGGACAATTTCCATTTAGTATCTCACTTCCTCTTTTGAGGAAAGGTTTGGAGACGTTAGTTGAGCTGCAGTTCCAGAGAATCCTGGAAGAAAAAGATTACCGGGAATCCTTTCAGCATTGATGGCACTTGCGGATGATCTCTGGCAGAGTGGGAGAGGCAGTGCGACTCTTCCAGATGTCTTAGAGCCTTGATTGTGATGCCCACCTGGACCGACTTCAGGGTGTGGGAGGGGCGCTGTTCTGCAGTGGCTTTTCTTCTATCTCCTAGGTTGGTGCGTGGAAGCAGTAGAAGCGAGAGAGCGAACCTTAAGCCTCCTCAGAGATCAGTGTCCTCCCCTCTCATATTTAAGATCTACATGGGATTGCTGGGAGAGGTCATCTAAAGGCACAGGTCAAGTGTCCAAAGTACGCTGATGAATCCCAGTTATCCATCTTGACCCCCCTGCCTACCCAAGTGATTCCTTTGAGTCGTAGTCCCAGGGGCTGGAGGCTGTTAGGGGCCGGCTTTGAGTTGGGAGGTCAGAATGTATGAGATTTCGTTCTCAAGGGGGTTGTGCTTCCCCAGGGGGAACTGCACAGTTGGGGCTCCTCTTGGACTTGAAAGACACAATCCATCGTATCGTTGTTCATTCATAACATAGTCACTTCCTATTTGGAGCATACGTAGACTTACATCCACAATTGAGATCAGAATCTTTGGTCATTGAGTGAAGCAGTCATAGGATTGCTTCACTCAAAACCCACAATCCCTGCATTCCCAATTGTGGTTGGGAAATGATTCCCCGGGACGTTAGGTGGCTGAAGCGAAGGAGCTGCCTGCTGCAGGGGCTCCACTCCCATGGGGCCAGGGCCCTCTGGCAGGCAGCCCTTTTGCTCTCAGAGAGGCTGGCTGGAAAAGGCCGTCCTGAAATCAAAGCAGAATTGTTTCAAGAAATGTGTGCCTCAGGGGGCATTTGCAGACACCCCAGAGAGAGACAAGAGGGTTCCCTCTGGCTTCTGAGGGTGGGGGCGGCAAGTACCCCCTGCTGCAGAGGCTCCGTGCCAAAATCCTGCTTCAGGCAGTGTCCCGTCTCCCCCGTTCTATGGAGGAGCAGAACAGGGACGTCCTCTCAGGGTGCTGTTCACCTGATAAGCCCACCACTCCCCCAGTAATGCTGATGAGTGGTCTTGCATCTGGGGGAGACGGCACCTTGCAGTTACCGCTTTGTCCTCATTGCACATCAGTGATAACAACTATAGTTCAAAATCTGGCTTGTATCTTGGCCTGTCAAGCTGGTCTATACGTTCACAACACAGCTAGATTGCAAACCAATTTCAGCCTGTGGACGCAATCCCAGTTTGAAGAGCAAGCTCAGTTCCCTAGCTGGCCAGTTCAAATGAAGCAGCAGACCGTGGTTTGTGGCATGGAGGAATTGGCAACCAGACTGCAGGATCCAAGGGGAGGAGAAAACAGCTTCCTTGGGGCTCCTTGTGGTGCAGCTGTGGGGTGGCTGAAAATCCACCAGCCTTATTGAGTAGGAAAAATGGAGGGGGGGGGGTCAAACTTTCCAGGAGGTGACCTGGAACTGAGATTGTTACTTTACTGCTGTAATGTTTGGCTTATATCGTTGGACTCCAGGTAAGAGTTTCTGACATAAAACCCTTTATTCTAAAACTGGAAGTAAATGCAGATCTTCTAAAATCACCTGACGCTGAAATGACTGTGGCTTATGGGTTTCAAACCCCCTCCTCCCCTCCTTAGGCTTTCCAGTTGGGTCCCACAGAAGCCTCTTACTACTGGGTCTACTGGGTGCCCACTCAGTACGTGGATGCAATCAAGGACACGGTGCTAGGGAAGTGGCAGTACTTTTGAAGGCACGCTCACCTCTGGCATGGAGACGGACTCGGAACTTAAGGACACTGCTGGAAGAGGCCCGGATGGGAGTGGTCCTGGAACTTCTTGATCAACGCCATCTCGGAAGGCCTGGGAGAACGCCAGAGGTGGGGATCTCTCGCCATTAGTTCATTTTTAACTTAAAGCAGTCCAGCAGCAGGAGCTCTTGTTCTGCGGCAGCTTCAACCGTATTTAAAAAAAAAGCAAATACAATGGAAATCAATAAATCTTAATTTACAAACCTCTGTGTGTAATACACTTCAACTCCACAGCTCTTCAGATTTCGACAAAAAAACAAAACAATATATCAGTGGATTTTCTACATGGCTTGGACAAGAGGCGGATATTTTCATAATTCTTCATATATAAATACCATTGTTTGAGCTTGTAATTGGCTGTCGGAGAAATAGGTTTTCCTCATCTCTTTTCTTGGAAATTAATAGCTTTTCGACTACGTAAACTTGGGGGGGGTTTCACAAGCCATTCTCTTCCTTGTCCTTAGGCTTTTGTAACTTTTCTGGTATCCGTAGGGTGGAGTTTCCACTCTGAACCCAAAAAGGATCAGTCAACTCTTTTTAAACTTTGTGGTGAATCTTTTCATATCTGCCCTAGGAGGGAGGGAGGGGTTATGTGGGAAATGTGCCATCACATGTTGCTTAGTTGGATGTGTTTTCCCACGCTTCCCCCCCCCCACACTGCTGTTGCCATAACTGGGGGAGCCTGTTTGCCTTAAGAAGCTTTCTTTGGCCATTTCTCTTAGTCCAAGAGCTCTTTGCTCTGAAGGTGCTACTGTTGCTGCTTTTCTCTCCACAGCGTAAAGGGAGTTTGCTTAGAGCAGCGCATCCGGATGTAAGGAATCCTGTCTTCCAAGCTAGCAGATGCAGCCGAAGGCCTTCTGGGGGCAACCTGGGCACCCTGTCACCGCCCTATTCTTCCTTGTAACCGCCAGAGAGGCTTTGGTTCCAGGCCTGCTAGTTCTGGAATGCCAATAGTGAATTTCCATTTTAGTTTTCCTTTTCTGTTCCTTCCTTTGTTGAAAACCATGCTGGGGAATTACACTCACAGGCCTGTTCAGACGGAAAGGGCCATCTGCTGCTGCTGTTGCCATCTAGTGCCCTCGAAAGGATAAATTTTAAAGAGGCCTGGGAATTGTAGGCCGTTTTCTACAGATATCCAGGTTAGAGATTGGTGGTTATTCTGAAAAACTATGAAGCAGTGGAAGAGGAAAAGTTGGTCTAGTTATTGTGTCATTTATTCTGCATAATAAGCAGAATACAATTATTCTGAGTATATTTATGGCAAAAACATGTCTTAATTTTACTCAAGCAATACCTACAAATATACCTAGTGTTAAAGATAGCCCTCCAAGCCGTTGTATCCTAAGATATCTAAAGGATGGTTTTTGTAACACTTATTGCAAATAGTTATAATAAATTCCATTGAACTCAGTAGGATTTCCTTGGAGTAAGCTTTGCAAATAGGAGAAAGTAGAACTTTCAAAAATAGAACTTACCAAAATTGTAATGACTAAAGGAAGACTTTACTACCTGGCAAATTCTATGTAGACTATTATGAAACTTTATCTTTTTAGAAAAAGCTTACAGAAAATAAATATTCCTATAAATGAAATTAAGGTGTGGTAATAAACTTGATCACATTGAACTCTTATCTTACTTGTATTTATCTTAGTCTAACTTGGGTAAACATGGTGCCTCTGCTACGATCAACAGCTCTGGATTACCCTGAAAACAGGATCTATGCGGTCCCAAACAAGTTTCTCCATAAGTAAATCTCACTGGGTTCAGCCAGCTTATTTGCAGAGCAACGTGCAGAGAGTTGCAGCCCAAATAGATGGCCACGTACATTTAATCTGTGATCGGAGTCCATGGCTTGAATAGAGCCAGGGGCCCATAGGAACAAGACGACAAATGTCTTGTTGAATCTTATAGCTGGATTTTAATTGGTATCTCTTACATTTTTGGCTGCCAATAGACCTTTGGTGATTCTTGCTTAATTCAAGCATATCCAAAATAACAAACTTTCAGGGGTCTGGTGCTGTTGCTGTTATGGATGCTGCGTTCTCTGAAGCTTCAAGTAAGCAGGGATTTCTGTTCTGAAGCTCCTCCAACCATCAAGTCCTGCTGCTCTCTTGGAATGGGAAGGAGAGAGTGCTGGCCCCCACCTCTGCCCCGCTACTCCCCTCCTGAGTTGTGGGCAAGGGTGCCAGGAGGGCCTCCAGAGGAAGAGGGAGGCGTGGAGCCATTGCCTCTCCTGCACGTATGATGTGAGCACCGTCAACTAATGCTCAAGCAGCAGCACCATGTCATGTGGCTGATGAGCAAAACGAGTGACTGTGCCTGCAACTGCCCTGTGCAGCTCACAAGAGTTTCCTGCTTGCATTGCTGGAGGTAGAACATGAGGTCACCTGCCTGGCTTCTGTTTTTCTCCTGCCTACCAGTAGCTCTGATCTTTTAGCCTCAACTCTGCTTGGAGGGTTCCTTTTAAGTGAGGCGGGAGGGAGGGGAGCTGGGGAGGCATTCCTCGCTGCCAGCCTCCTGGAGGAACAGGACTGCATTTTGGATCAAAGCACTTGCAACTGGAGTGCCTGGGAGCACCCTTGAGCATGCGAAGAGAGCAGGCTCCTTTCCCCGCCCCTGCCCCCCATCTATCTGGAGAGAAGCTACAACTTGGATTTTGGTTCTGTTTCTCCTGCCTCCTTGGGGGTTCTTCTCTCTTAAAAGTTGTCTTCATCATTTGGGGGCCTGGAATCCCCCTCTGTTCATTACTGAATAAACTTTCAACCAACTGCCTGTTCGCAAAGTCCCCCAGGCAAGGACTGCCACATCCAGCTGCAGCAAGCGCTCTCTTCCTGCAAGACCGGCTGGGTATGTCCTTAAGCGGCATGGCTGCTTCTTGGCAGGTCAAGACATCTGGGGGCCACCCACTTCCTTTCCCAGGACCAGTTGGGGGTCCACGGTGGCTATTTTGGAAGCCGAGGATTCCAGCAACGGCTCCTGTGTATTTTTTCAGATGAACAGAGGAGAGAGACCGGCAAGGGCAACCCTGGATGTGGGATTAGGAGGGAATTTGGTGATCTCCCCTCTAGCGTCAAAATGCAACAAGTATGATTAGGAAACCCCACTGGATTCAGGGACTTAGCCATATCCTCACTGACTTCTGTGATCTTTCTTGGTGTCAGAAGGGCCAAAGACACAACATTTGAGGGAGGGAAGGAAGTGGCAGCCTTGGATGTGGGAGGATTTGTGTATTGCCTATCAACAGCCTTCATTGTGCAGCTGCCTCTTCCCTTCAACCACCCAGAAGAGCAGTTGTTTTTAAGAACTTACACTACCTACTCTAGCCAGTCTTGCTCACCTGTCCTTGCAGTCTCGCTTCTTTCCTGAGAAATCAAGAAAGTGTCCCATAGAATGTTCCTAATCTGTTTTGCCATCCTTGGTGAGGGGAGTTTGCTTAGTCTCCTCCCCAGCTCATTTGTGATGGCACTCACCTTCCATTTCACCCCAAGACCGGACAGTCCTGGGACTACAAGAAAAAGCTGCGCAGGTAGGGCATCCCAGCGTCTCACTGCTGGAAACACCTCTGGCGTCAAAATGCAACAAGTATGATTAGGAAACCCCACTGGATTCAGGGACTTAGCCATATCCTCACTGACTTCTGGGATCTTTCTTGGTGTCAGAAGGTCCAAAGACACAACATGTGTAGTTAATTTCAGAGGATATTTTCCCCATCCAAAATGCCTCACCCCAGGGCTCCTTCCCCCCTGGCTGATGATGGGTGTGGCAAAATACACCGACTCTTTTGGTTCCTGCTTCTCGGAGCAATTTCGAGGCTCCCGTCCTGCCTTCCAAGTGTCCAGAGTGCCGAGGCCAGATCTTCAGCTCCGTCAGATCGATCTGGTCTTGTCCCCGGGGCCACGTTCCCTTGTGCAAGGGCACTTGGAATGGAAAGGCTGCCAGCTGTCCGAGGTTAGAGGGTCTTTTGGAGAGCCTCTAGTACAGCCCCTCCCACTGAGATCTGGCCATCCAGCTTGAGCTTACACATCTCAGCAGAGGTTCCACTGCCTTCCAAGGGAGTCTGTTCCCTTGTGCAGCAGCTAGCTCTTCCTCCTCGTTTCTGGAACAACTGCTCCGTCTTCTGCCCAGAGCCTTTGGATGCCTGAAGAGAGTTGCCAGGTCTCTTCACAATCTTCTCTTAAAATACGCAAGGCTTCCAAGAGTTCCTCATGCATTCTGGCTCTTTTAATACCTCAAATGTTTTTGAAAATGATTTTTGGGAGCTATCTTCAAGGGCAGATTTTAAAGCATTTTTTTCGAGGTTTATGGACAAGAGAGATTGATAAGGATTGTGTTTATAGTGGATGGAACTGGCTATTGGAGAGAAGATTATGGAGATCGAATGAATTTTAGATAACAAGTTTAAGTTTAAGTACTTAGTTTAAGTACTCAGAAGACTATTGAATTGTGGGAGAAGTAAGATTTACAAACTTTTTGGAATTACCTTTAAGAGATTTATGGACAAGAGAAGGAATGTGTTTATTGTGGAGGAATTTGTTATTGGTAAAGATTTAAACAGGTATAAGGGAATTTTAATGTTTTAAGTAATGTTTAAATATGTGTTTTGGGGTAATAATATAAGTATGATATGAAAAGGTTTAGAGTATATTATAAAATGATGGACAATGATTTAGAGTATATTATAGTTTGTTTAAAGATTGGTTTAAGAGAAGTTAATTTGTTTAATTAAACGTATTTAGATTTGTTTAGGATTTATATGTTTTTTAAGTCCTTTTTTATTGATAGGAGAGAAGATCATGGAGACTGAATGAAAATTTTAGATAAGAAGTTTAAATATAAGTATTTAGTTTAATTATTTAAATGGGTATCCAGTTTTGATGGTATAATGAATGTTTATATGCTTATTTTTGTGTTCTAGAGTAAAGAAAGAGGGAGATTAGATTTTATATTGTAGGTATAGATATTTAAAGAAAGTAATGTTTAAATTTGTGTTTTGGGGATTCTTTATAGAATGATGGATAATAATATAAGTACAATATTAGAAAAGGTTTAGAGTTTGTTTAGGATTTATATGTGTTTTAAGTTTTTTTTTATTTTTTATTTTCTTTGAAAAATTTTAATTAAGCCTGTACTCAGCTCTGGGAAGGTTGAGGGAGGGTATGGGAGGTTTGGGGAGATGGGGGAGGGCATGGGAGGGTGGGGGGTTTGGGGAAGGGATTTGCTTTGTAAAAGTCAAAAACTTTTAATAAAAAAAAAAGAAAATGAAGTACCCAGAATTGAGAGCAATATTTCAGACAGGAGTAATGATCTTGATAAACTTCAGTTGGTGCCGCCCAGGACTGCATTTGCTTGTTTAGCAGCTGCATCATTCGGTTGGCTCATATTCACTTCAGATGCACCAGGACCCCAGATCTTTCCCACCTTTATTTCTGTCTGGTCTGGTCTCTTCTCCTCCTCCTCCTCCTCCTCCTCCTCCTCCATTCTTTGTCCAGGAAATGCTTGGCTTCTGGAAATGGCCCTGATGCTTGTCTAGACCACCTGGATGAACCCGTAGGTACTCAGAACAAGATTCCGCAGAGAGCGAAGCCTAGTGAAAAGAGGCACTTAGAGAAATGCAACGTCAGGGAAAGAGCCTCGTCCCAAGGATGAAGGGGGCCCCAAAGGGCTCGCAGTCGTTGAGAAGAGAGGGAACTTGGGTCGTACTAGCAACCCCCCCCCCAGGGAATGTTCGGCTGCCTGTGCATGAGCGGAAGATGACCGCAGATAGATCCTGGCAACTAAATCCAAAACTTCATACATTTTTCCCAACAAAAAGAAGGGCCCCAAAGCTCCCCCTGCATCCAGAACTGTTTCCAAAGCTGTGTCCCCCAACAGAAGGAGACTGTATTTCCAGTTTCTTGTTTTTGAGAGTCTTCCACCTTCCTGTTATCCCTTAACCTGAGAATCAAGGTATCTTGGCTCTCCTCCAGGTGGACTGCCAGCTGTGCTCCAGTTTCTCTTTTGGAACTCTCTCGTATCCCAAATTCCCTCGCTTTTTGCTTTTTTCGAAACTTTCTAGTGCAGTGTTTCTCAACCTTGACCATTTTAAGGCATGTGGACTTCAACTCCCAGAATTCCACAGCCAGCATTGCTGGCTGTGGAATTCTGGGAGTTGAAGTCCACATGCCTTAAAATGGTCAAGGTTGAGAAACACTGTTCTAGTGGTTAATGGCCAGCAGGGCTGTGCTCTCCAAACAGACCCCTCAGCCGCCTGCTCCCTAAGCAAAATAGCATTTCCTGTTGGGGAGCAGGAAAAGGTGGGAAGACGGCTAGACTAGTTCAAAGGTAAACTTGTCCAACCGTTTTCTTTGTTTTGCTCTGTAAAATCAATCCACCTTTTCAATTAAAGATTGTTAATGAGCAGCTTCTTTTGCTGGGTCATCCTTTCTCAGATGCACCAGAGGGCTTCCTGCTTTGTTGGCCTGGGGGCTGGACTCGGCATATCTCTCAGTAGGCAAAGCCAAATCATTTCATAGGACAGTTGCATCCTTGGGGTTTCATAGTCCAGTCCCAACTGGGCTGATGTCTCTGCATGTTCTTTTGGGAAGACCCACTGAGCTGAGGGTAGCCTCCCTATGGCTGCCTTTCTGCAGAGAGGCCCAGAACCTGCTCCGGCACCACCAGCCCCCTGGACCATCAGGTGCTCTGATCTTTCTTGCTTTCGGGATGGCGGTTTGTGCCATCTTGTGATTTTTCTGCCTGGGGGGGGGGACCCAGGTGATGCTTCTCAGCTGGCATCAGAAAGCAAAGCCATGGAGAGTCCAGTTTTCTGTGCCTCAAGCCCCACGGGGAGCATAAATGGGGAATTCCTTAGAGCACACCCCACTTGAGAATAAAATGGGGGGAGGCATACAAAGAGATCACAGAGGTGTCTCAATTAATGAGCAAACAGAATAAGCAAAAATAACTCATTACTGATGGTTTTTATTATGTTTGCTATATTGTAAGATAGCAGACTGTTGTAGTGGCATCAAACTAGAATCCAGGATGTGATGGGTTCTAGTCCTGCCTTGGGTGCCAAAGCAGGGCAATATACTTGCCTTGGGAAGGGGGGGGGGGCATGGCAAACACTTTGGAAAACCTTGCCATGAAAAGTGCAGGGACAGAGCAGGCAATCTCCAGGAGTCAGCACTCAATCGAAGGCACCTCTCCCCACCCCCCACCTCCCAAAAAAAGATATTGGTGCGCAGTGTGTGATCTTATTGTGTCATATTTGAGCAATTTTTTTGCCCAACGGAGGGTTTTCTTGTGTCCCTGGCAGGGCGATTAAGACCTTGGGGTCCCAGAGCTTGTGCGGGGGGGGGGGTGAGGGGGCTGCGATTCCTGCACAGCGGCCTTTGCTGTCCCTGCAGAAGGGGGGCGCCTCCCCCGCCGAGCTTAGTTTGTTCACCGGGGGCTGCGGGGCGCCCTCGCTAGCTGTCCGGGTTGTCGGGAGTCGAGCCGGCGGCCCTGCTTAGGAGGGGCTTTGCGGGGGGCCTTGGAGGGGCAGACTTGGAAGCTGGGACGCTGGAGGGAAACGTGGGGGGGCGAGACCCCCACACAGTCTCTGCCCACCCGCGGCACCCCTGAGCCCGCGCGGGAGGTCGCGGCTCCCCCGGCCTGCGTCCCCCGGATCCCAGCGCGACTTTTTCCCGCTGGAGGGCGAGACAGCTTTGCCCGCGGCGGAGAGAAACCAGTCCGGCGGGTTTCTCTTCCTGTAGGGTGGAGGCGAGTCCGCGTCCACAGGGCCCCGAGCGCTCCTCGTGTGCGGCCGGAGGGGAGGCTGACACGAGTTCTGCTCTGTGTACTGCGCGTTCCCACGGCCAAAACGCGGCTTAGAGTGTCGTCCCAAAGGACTACCGCGGAACTGAAGAAACTTCTTGCATAAAGAAAAAACGAAGCCCAGCTGCCTTTGGAAAAGCACCATCGAGGCAACCTGCAGGACCGTAGCTTGGCTGATGTAGGAACCCGACCAAAGGGACGCAACGAGGACACTCAGACGTGCCTAATGTGTTCTGCGAAGGCGTCCTGCGGGAAACCCGGCCGGCCCCGGCCTGGCTCGCTGAGCGGGCTATTTTAAGGGGTTGTTTCGCTCTGCATGAAGAGTCGTGTGAACCAGCCAGAATAATTGTACACCTTGTTTACAGCTCGGCGCGTAGCGCGAACCGTCCGTTCACGCATCAGGGAGTTTGTGCTCAGCCGGCAGACGGACCACCGTCCCTTCTGCTGTCCTCGTAGCTGTCCGGAGCCTCTTCCGAGCGGCGGCCAGTCGAGGCCGAGCCCTGCCAGATCCGGGTGCCTCTGAGCACGTCCGGAGGGCGCGCTCCTCGGCGGGGGAGGGCCAGGCCGGGCGAGGTGGGGCGAGGCGGGCGCGCCGGGAGGCCGGTGCCGTCGGGGAGCCGGATCTGGGGCGGAGGCCGGCCGGGAGAGTCCGGTTCCTCCCCGCGGGCAGCAGGCAGGGGTGGCGGCGCAAGCCAGGGAGCGCGGCGTGGCGTGGCGGGGCTGCCATGGGCGAGGCCGAGGAGCAGCAGCCCCCGACCGGCCACGGCCGAGCGCCCACCCCGCGGCGCTTCCCGTTGCCGCTGCTGCTGCTGCTGCTGGCGCAGGTAGAGGCGGGGCGCGGCCTCCCTGCTTCCCCGAGGGCTCCGCTCCCACGGAAGGGAGGGCGGGGGGTCCGCGGAGGCGGGGGGGGGACCCGCGCTGGGGCAGAGATGGAGAGGCCGGAGCGCCAGGCGGACCGATCCTCGCCGGGCGCCGCTCTCCTCCAGTCGGCCAAGCCGCTTTCGACGGAGGGCGCCGCCTTGGAGTCCCCAAAGCCCGCTCTCTCCGGCGCCGGCCGCGCGGCCTCGCCCGACGGGCGCCCCGCGCAGGGGCTCGCGGCCCGGCGGGGAGGCCCCGGTTTTCCCGGGCGCAGCTTTGTCCGGTCTCCCGCGCAGGAGCGGTGCCAGGCCGGTTTCGGGAAGGCCCGGCCCGCCTTCGACGGCGCGGCCGGCAGTCTGGCTCCACCCGCCGCTTCTCCTTCTCCGCAGACTCTGGCCGGCGGCCCCGCAGCGGCGGAATCGGAGCCGGAGCCGCCGCCGCTGCCGCCGCTCCTGGTGGCCACGCTGGACGGGCGCCTCCGCGCAGTCAGCCCGGCCACGGGGGACACGCGGTGGGCGCTGAAGGAGGGTGAGCGGCGGGCGGGGCTCCCGGGCGACTCCCCCTGCCCCCTGCCCCCCCCCCCGGGGCGTCCAAGGGCGCCTCTTCCCGGCTCTGACGGCGCTGCTCTGCTTTCAGATCCGCCCCTGCTGGTGCCCCGCGGAGAGCCCGAGTGAGTGGCGCCGGCCGAGCTGGTTCCGAGGCGGAGGAGGCGCGTCCCGCTCCCCCCAAAGCGCCGCCCGCATAAGGCAGCCGAGGGCGGCGGAGGGAAGGGGGGGGCTGCTCTCCGCAGCCCCGAGGCCGCTCGCCCAGGCGGCCTGGCCGGCCTTGTGGAGGAGCCGTCCAGGCCCAGCGTCCTTCTCCTCTTCTCTGTCCAGGCCCGCGTTTCTCCCGGACCCCAGCGACGGCAGCTTGTATGTGGTGGGGGGCCAGGACGAGGGGGGGCTGATGGTAAGTGGCCAAGAAGGGGGCGGGGCACACCTGAGTCAAGGTGGCCCGTGCTGAGTTTCACTGGGGGGGGGAGGTAAAGGGGGAGGAGCCATCCTGTGGACGTGTGCCCTGAAGGGGCAGGGAGAGAAAGTTGGAAGGGCTCCCTGAATCTCTGGAGAGATTCTCAGTCATCCAGATCATCCTTATCCCAAAGATGCTTTTTCATGAGGCAACTGGACTTTCTTGTTGTAATAATAACAATAGAGTTGGAAGGGACCTTGGAGGTCTTCTAGTCCAACCCCCGGCTCAGGCAGGAAACCCTATACCATTTGGGACAAATGGCTGTCCGATCTCTTCTTAAAAACTTCCAGTGTTGGAGCATTCACAGCTTCTGGAGGCAGGTGGTTCCACTGGTTAATTGTTCTAAGGAAGAATTGTTAATTGTTCAGGAAGTTTCTCCTTAGTTCTAGGTTGCTTCTCTCCTTGATTAGTTTCCATCTGTTGGAATGGGGCTTTGGAGAATAGCTTGACTCCCTCTTCTTTGGGGCAGCCCCTGAGATACTGGAACACTGCTATCCTCATCCTTCTCTTCATTAAACTGGACATACCCAATTCCAGCAACCGTTCCTTTTATGTTTTAGCCTCCAGTCCCCTAATCATCTTGGTTGCTCTTCTCTGTGCTCTTTCTAGAGTCTCAGCATCTTTTTTACATCATGGTGATCAAAACTGGATGCAGTATTCCAAGTGTGGCCTTACCAAGGTCCTGTAAAGTGGTACGGATACTTTGCGTGATCTTGGTTCTGTTCCTCAGATAATGCAATATTCGATTGCATTGGCTCTTTTGGCAGCTCATATTTAAGTGATTGTCCAGTAGGACTCCAAGATCCCTCTTGCAGTTACTGCTATTGAGCCAGGTTCTATCTATTCTACACCTGTACATTTGTTTCTTCTTGCCTAAGTGTACAACCTTACTTTTATCTATGTTCAATTTCATTTTGTTGGATGGTGTTAGAGTGTTCAAGTCTGTCAAGGTACTTCTGTATTTTAAGCCTATCTTGAGATGCTGGCTATTCCTACCAGCTTGTTATTGTCTGCAAATTTGATGAGTTCCCCTTGATATTGAAGAGTATTGGGTCTAAAACGGAACCTTGGGGTACCCCACTGCTCACTTCCTTCCATGCAGAAGTGGTTCCGTTAGGGATTACACTTGGAGTGTGGTTGGCTAACCAATTATGGATCCATCTGATGCTATCCCACATTTTTCTCTCTTACCAAGAAGTAGGCTATGGTTTATTTTGTCAAACTTCAGTAAGTTCGATAGATTTCACTTATAGAAGAAGGAAATGAGAAGCTGTCCACTGGGCCAGCGTAGGGCCACCAGGTTTGGGCAAGGAATTCCATAGTCTTGAGGGATGTAGAATATGCCTGGAGGCAGTGGTGGGATCCAGCCTGTTCGCACCACTTTGGCAGAACTGGTAGCTAATTTTTTGTTGCCCAGGCCCAGAACGGACTTCTGGAAGCGGCATCCACACAGAGAACCGGTTGTTCACATATTTGAATCCCACCACTGTCCGAAGGGGTTGACCCTGAGCAATTAAAGACACCTGAGAGAGTTTCCTAGCTACTTCTTGATTGTTGTGAGCTTTACTTTAGAGAAGACAGGATGCTAATGACAAAAGGGAATAATTGGCTCCCTGCTTCATTGCGTGAATGGAGGTCCTTGCTTAGAGGCTTTCTGAAGGCCTGGCATCTTGAAGGCTGAGGCATCCATACATCCTCTGGGGGTGTGGTGCATAATTCGAGGGGCTACCACACTGATAGTTATTGGCACAGAAGTCATGCGGGTTCCAAGCATCTTGTGCCAAAATGCAACACTGGATCAGCTGCTACAGATGATTCCAGTCTTATTTGTTAAAAGGTGATTCTGAGTCAAATGGGAGGTCTCTCTCTTTTATTTTTCTGGTAGAAGCTGCCTTTCACCATCCCGGAGCTCGTGCAATCTTCTCCGTGCCGCAGCTCCGATGGCGTGATCTACACAGGTGCCAGTGGGGAAAGTGGAAGAGGGGGAGGGGGGCCTCCATCCTGGGCTGGCGGAAGGCTGTGCAAAGCATCAGCAAGGCTGGAGCCCGTTCCTACTTGAAGGGATGGGAGCACCCCGGAATATGTGTGTTCCCTCCTCAATTTTCCAGGAAAAAAGGAGGACGTCTGGTTTCTTGTGGACCCGGCATCGGGGGAGAAGCAGAGCGTGCTGTCGCCAGAGGCCTGGGATGGGCTTCACCCCATAAGCCCCTTGTTGTTCATCGGACGCAGTGGTGAGTGTCCCTTGAGCCTCCCTCCCTGAAAATGTTCAGGGGGAGAAACACCAGCCTGTAGAAAAAGAAGGAGGAAGAGAGGAAGAAGGAGGGGGCGAGGGAGAGGGAGAGGAAAGGAGAGGGAGGAAGAGGGGGGGAGAGGGAGAAGGGGAGGGACAGGCAGGGAGGGAGAGGGTAAATCATCTTGCTCTCCTCTGCAGAGTATGTCATCACCATGTATGACACCAAGACCAGGGAGTTGCAGTGGAATGCCACCTACCTGGACTACTCTGCTCCCTTCCATGAGCAGGACTCTGACTATAGTGAGTAACTGGGCAGAGCAAGCTGGCAACCGGGATTCCCCCCTCCACGCTCCCTTCCTTCCTTGGCAGCTGGCAGGGGAAGGAGCAGCTGCAGAAATCAAGGGAATGTTGCTGTGGAGTCACAGCGCAGGCAAGTAGCCGAAGGAAGAAGAGCAGCCCTTCTAACCCATTGTGGGATGGGGGGGGGAGTTTCAGATGAGGGCAGCTGGAGCTTTCCCACCCACTCCCCTAGTGCAGGGATGGCAAACCTTTTAGAGACTGAGTGCAACCCAAAACCCACTTATTTATCGCAAAGTGCCAGGGCTGCATCAGCACTGTGGTGCCCTGGGGGGGGCACTGGGTGGGCGTGGCTGCAGTGGTCATGGCAGACTGGATGAGCGTGGCCGGGGCCAGTCCCTCGCCATCTCTGGAGCATCCCCGGGGGGCCAACGCCGCTTGCTTACTCACTTCCTGCCCTGTCGCTTCCAAATGCCATGTGCTCGCTAACTCTGGCGAACTCTGCTGGGGCAACGGTGCGCATGCCCACAGAGAGGGCTCTGAGTGCCGCCTCTGGCATGCGTGCCATAGGTTCGCCACCACTGGCTTAGTGCAAGTTTGGGGAGTGCTCTTTTGCTATTAAACATTAGGCTCTCCCTGCAAAAGCAGTTGGTTTCACCAGCCAGTCCGTGTGATGTAAGCTTATTTTTAAACATGTGTGATCTTTTCACATCTAGAAATTGATAGCCCAGCATCCCCTCCGCCCTGAAAGTCTCCCTCTTGCCAGAGTCAGTCTAGGCAGCTGTGCTTGATGGATCCTGCCAAAGACAAGGCAGGATTTAGCAGTGCGGCTGACCCTGTGATTGGCGCTTGGCTGGCATTCCAACTCAAGTATAGCTCTGCTGCCATGCCCAGTGCCTGCCTCCCCCCCCCTTGGCACAGAAATGGCCCATTTTGCCTCAAGCGGAGATGGTTGGCTGGTGACGGTGGGCAAAGAGAGCGGAGAGGTGCTCTGGGTGCAGGACTATGGATCACCCGTGGTGGGCGTCTACAGCTGGCATCAGGACAGCCTGCGTCGGGCACCCCACCTCAGCATAGCCATGGAGAGCCTGCGCTACCTTATCCTGCATGCTCAGAAGATCCCCCTCCTCAACTGGACCTTCCGGATTAGCAAGGATTTCGTGGCCAAGACCCCTTTGCTGTAAGTGTCGATCCCAGGAGAGCTTGTGGGCAACTTCTGGGAAAGCAGTTTTGTCAAAAAAATCAGGGGTGGCGTACCTGTCTTTGTGGGGAGCCTAAGCGGGGGGAAAGGGAGATCCAGAAGGCTGAGAAGTTGAGCGTAGGGCTTTTGTGTGCTACCCTGTCCCTTGAGAGCTCCGGGCAACTGTGCAAACCACAGACTGCCATTAGAACAGACTTTAAAGGGTCACGAAGAGATTAAAGTCAGCTTCAGTTCAGCAGCAGCTCCCTCTGCAAAGTGGAATTCATCGATAAGCCTCCTAAAGCAGGAGTTTGCATAGGATGGGAATGCTTGGAAAGAGGCTTGAGGGGGATGTGCAACCTGCTGGGACCACAGCATCTGAAGTGTCCCATCATGCTTCAGGAAGAACCCGGAGAAGAGGCAGGAGGAAATAAAGATGCCAGAAGAAGAGTGTGTGTGTGTGTGTGTGTGTGTGTGTGTGTGTGTGTTTATACTGTGCCTGAAAGCAGGTCACACAGAAGAGAGCAGAACATGGGGAAATGGAGTCAAGTTACAAGAAAGTAGAATCCAACTGAGCCTTCGAAGGCTCTTCCTTCCAGGGCAAAGGGTTATGCAGAGAGGCTGTGGGCTGCCTCCCTCAACCGCATAGAGGCTGACCAGCCCCTCTGTCTTGGGCGATTTCTACTGTGACATGGGTTAGACTAGATGGCCCCAAGGTCCCCTTCCAACTTTAGTACCTTTCAATTCCAATTTAGTATTGGTTTTAATCTATGTTTGTTTTAACCTATTGTTAGCTCCCTTGAGAACTTGCCAGAACAGAAAAGTAGAGTATGAACCATACATATATGCATACGTACTCTGTGTGTGTGTGTGTGTGTGTGTGTGTGTGTGTGTGTGTGTGTGTGTGTGTGCCTTTCAGATTGCTTTTCTTTTTTCAAAATGAACTTTGCTTTGTTTTTTGTATTTTTAAGATTGCTTCATTTTATGTATTTAAGGTGGGGCTGTGTGAGTTCTTTTGAATAGTTCCCTGGGCTCTCCTGCGAAGTCAAAGAGAATTTGTGGGAACAAGTATAAGAAAAGGGGGGCAGGCTGCAGAGTGCCCAGGTCAGGCCTCTTGGTGCAAGAGAGCAAGCCATTGGCTGCCTGGCTTCCAGAGAAACTACAGGGTACGGAAGGAGTGGGATGGAGGTGGCATCTGCCGCAGGGTTAACCCTGGTCTGATTCCCCAAAGGACATCCGCCGTTTAAGGAGCTTCTAGGACAGTGGTGGCGAACCTATGACACGCATGCCAGAGGCGGCACTCAGAGCCCTCTCTGTGGGCACACGTGTTGTCACCCCAGCCCTGCCTCCCCCCATGGCCCCCTCATCAGTAGCCCACCCTGGAGGAGAGTCATCCCCTGGGCATGGAGCAGCACAGCCAAGCACATGGCAGCTGGGCAGCAGGGACAAGACTCCGCCCTCGTGCCCTGTCGCGCGCAGATGATGCTGTGAGGCATGGATGGACAGCGTGCCCATCATGGCACTGCAGGGCCGCCTGAGCGATCTGCAGCGTGCCGTGAAGGTGGTGGGTGGCCCAGCAGGTGGGGTAGGGTGGAGCAGGCGGGGCAGAACGATAAGGGTGGGGGGCGGTTTTTGGGCACTCAGTCTCTAAAAGGTTCGCCATCACTGTTCTAGGAAATAAATCCTGGCTGCACATGAGCTACCATATCATCTCCCTCTGGGCCAGAGCTTTGATCCTCTGCTTCTTTGGTTCAGTGCTGACCAACCCCCCCCCCCGCCGGCAGCACCTGCAGCCCAGCCCCCCCATCCAGGGCCAACATGGGAGTAGGTGAACAGGAGCCATTGTGGCTGCCAGCCCCCAAATTGTGCCTCTTTAAGCCTGTGCACGGAGGAGCCATCAGTGCACCTGGATTTGGGGATTGAGTTGATTTATATCCCGCTTTTATTCTGTGCAATGCACAGAGATGTGCACAAGCCCTCGTTCCTCCTACTTTCTCCTAAAACCACCCTGGGAGGTGGGTTGAAGAATGCTGTGTTAGATTCTCACTGCCTAGCCAGAGCTTAACCTCCAGGCACTTGGTTCCTTCTGAATCTCACCAAAATCTGCCTGGCTGTACCACTGAGGGGCTTCCTCACCGTTCCTGGCCCTCCTTTTTGTTTCAGCACAACCCTGTATGTGGGCAAACATGCCGGGGGTTTCTACGCTTTGACATCCCTGGTGCACGAAGGCCTGGCTCTGGTGGTGAGTTCCTTCCCTTGGTGGGGCACAAAATGGGTAGCTGGGTGGTGGGTCCTGCTGCTGACTGGGCTGTCTCTGCCTCCTGCAGCCTCAGGGAGTGGCTCTGGCCCAGGGCAGCGGTCCCATCACACGTGATGTGACGCTCCAAAGGTCTGGTGAGTGCAAGGTCACACCCAGCACGGGCATCCAGTACCCGCCGGGCACCATCTTCCTCCCCCACAGCCAATGGCTGCTGATAGGTGAGTTTCTGGGCTCCAGGGCCCCCGCCGAAAGACAGCCTCCATTCCCCCCAGAAGTTGCCCAGAGTCCCCTGAATGGTGGGGGAAGAACACCCCCCCCCCAGACTGAAGGGTGCACAATGGGCCATTCTGCATAAGAACACACAGGTACATACTGGCAGGCACAGGCTAACCCCTTTCACCACTGATCCCCGGAGGGTGGTCATGCCAAGGTCTCTGAGGTCCAGAAGGGGGAGGGGGGAGAGATTGTGAGTAGAAGATTTGGGAGAAATTGAAGGTCCCTGAGGATCAGCACTGGGTGGGAGCAGAGAGGGTGGGTTAGAATTTAAGAAAAGAAGTAGTCAGCGTGACTGAAGCTTTGGAAGGCAGGCAGTGCAGACAAGTTGAGTCCAGCCATGGGGTGCTCTCCTTGGGGAGGGCTCAGCAGGGGGACTCCAGGCTCCCCCCTTCTTTCCAGGTCATCACGAGATGCCTCCACTTGTCCACACCACCATGCTGAGGGCCTTTCCTGGCAGCCTGCGGAGGAACCTGGAGGCTGTTGCACCACACAACTCCCCTGCTCACAGCCTCTTTGAAGAGGTATGGGCGAGAGGGGGCTAGGGCTGATGTGGGGGGGGGGAAGGGCTGCAGTCCGGGTGATGACAGCCTTCTGAGAGAAGAGGGATGCCCGGCCTCGACCCTGGCACTCCAGGCTGCTCCACCCAGTATCGTCAGAAGGTATAGAACAGTGGTTCTCAACCTGTGGGTCGCAACCCCATTTTGGATCGAACGGCCATTTCACGGGGGTTGCCAAACAACGCAGTCCGCCATTTTCCCCCCCCTTTTCCTTAGCTGTGCTATTCCCTTGAAAGCCGATAGAATAGACTCTCTTGAATAGAGTCTAATTCTATTGCCTTTCAAAAGCCAATAGGAATTGTCCAGGCTGTCTCTGCCCTGCTGAGCCCGCCAAAAGTCCCAGTCTGCAAATGGTGCTGCACCAGTTGAGTAGTCCTTGACTTACGACCGGTTGGGGGTTGCGGCATTAAAAAGATTGAGAACCACTGGTATAGAGCAAGCAATTCAGCCCTGGTGTCCTCCAGGCTTTTCTTGCAAACACCCCAACAATCACAAGCTAATGTGGGAATGGAGGGGGGAGCAAGAGGCACAAGCAAAGGGCGTGCTTGCTCCTCTTCCCCTTCCCCACTGCAGGTGGCATCTGGGGCAAAAAAGCCAGCCTGGCTGGCCCCACTTCCAGGACAGAGTTCACGGTGTGTGGCTGGGGGATGGCTGTGTCCCCCCCCCATCCTTGCCAAGAGCTTCCTGGTCTGTTTCAGTTCCTGGCCCCTGAAGGATCACAGGAAGATCAGGCTGATGGTCGGCCCTGGGGGGATCACGCCAGGAAGGAGGCTCCAGTGGAAGTGGATCCCTCATTTGGCAGCTGCGAGCTCGTTGTGGTTGGCGTGGCTTCCATCTGTTGGGGCGGGGGGCTCCTCTGCCTCCTGCTCTGGGTGAGTGGGCTTCATCTGATCCTCTTCCAGCTTTCTGTGCTTTGGGGGGATTGCAGAGGCCCCGGGGCCAAGGCCAGAAGAGGTTCCCGTGGTCCCTGCCAGCTGCTAGAGAAGGCACCCTTCATGGCCAGCAGTGGGGAGGGGGTCTCTGCCAGGATGTAGTCTTGCCCCCAGCCTGATGATGGGGCCCCTGGCAGTAGAGGCAGGTGGTCTCTTCCGCTTTCATTCCTGCTGCTTCTCTCCCAGAAGGTCTCGTCTGAGCGCAGCTCTGGCCAGCAGCCTCCTGCAACTTCTAGCCATTTCTCAAGAATGACTCCTGAAGAGTCCCTGGAGCTGAACCAGGGAGCAGACCAGCCCCCCTCCTCAGCCTCTGTGGATAAAGCCTCCCTCCAGAGCCCTGGTCCAGGTGGGTACCTGCCCAGCTATCAGAGGGTGTGTTGGGGAAGGATGGGGGGCTGTCAAAGGGGCCACTAGGGTGACCCCCATTCTCTCCCCTCAGCAGGTGTTGCCCCAGAAATGGTTACTGTGGGAAAGCTCTCCTTCAGGCCCCTGGAGGTGCTGGGCCGTGGGGCGGGGGGCACCTTTGTGTTCCGGTGAGTTGGAGCTGCTCCTGAGCTGAGTAAAGGTCCCTGAAGCAAGTGCCCAGCCCTGGAATCCAACCAAAGGGCTTCCCTGCAGGCTGAGGGTCCTGCGATGCTCCATCTTGGCGCCCTGAAGGAGCAGTAGGATGGGCCTCCCTCTCGCTGTCCAGGATGTAGAAGTGCTGGGCATCCTCACAGGTGCCATGCCAGCCTTTGGCGCTTCCTGAGAGGGCAGAGGCAGAGCTAGGGCTTTGTTGTGAGGAGGGGAGGGGGACATTGTGGGCACAGAGGAGAAGCCATTCCTCCCCATCACCCGGGTGGCTTCCTTCTTCAGAGGCCGCTTTGATGGGCGCGACGTGGCCGTGAAGCGTTTGCTTCTGGACAGCATCCATTTGGTGGACCGCGAGGTGCGGCTGCTGCGCGAGTCGGATGCGCATCCCAACGTGGTGCGCTATTTCTGCACCGAGGCTGATGGGCAGTTCCACTACATCGCCCTTGAGCTGTGCTCTGCCAGCCTGCAGCAGGTGAGGAGGCACGCCTGCCAAGACCCTCCTCTGCCCCCCCCCTCGCATCCCTGCAATAATTTTGTTCCAAAGAGGAAAATATTAACTTACTCTGTACAATAATCACACCCAATGTGCTGCATTGGATAAACCTGTCATATGAAACGACACCACTTCCCACAAGCCTGGGATGTCTGGCAGCCAGTTCAGATGTTCTCCTTGCGGGGCCGTCCGGAGCCGGGAGCTGCCCGTTTTCAACATGGAGACTCTGGCTTACCTTTCCCCCAGGCCAAATGTTCGGAAATGATGGAAAATCCAACTGTATCTGTAGGAGGGCTAGAAATAACCTTTGGTTAAGTACGTCAAGTGTGGTTTGGAAGGATCTCTTCCTAAATGCTTGTGAACTTTACAGTTTATCAGAAAAGAGTCCGTCTGCCAAAGGGGGACTTGGCAGATTCTTTAAGGCTGTCAGAACTAATGGTTGTTCCTGCACAGCTGGATGGGGGGAGGACAGACTTGATGCTGGGGGCTCCTAGCAAAGATTGCCCTGCTCTCTTGCCTTCTGCCCCCTCCAGTACGTGGAGAGCTCCGTCTTCCCTGGAAAAGACATGGATCCGCTCTCCCTGCTGTCCCAGACCATGTCCGGACTGGCACATCTGCACTCCCTCAGCATAGGTGAGACACCCCCCCATAGCAAAGGCCGTTGCCTCCCCCTCCCCTTTAAACGGAAGCTGGGTGTTCTCCAGGCTTGTGCTGAGGACCCTTTTCTTTCCAGCTCATCGTGACCTGAAGCCCTGCAACATTCTGATCTCGGTCCCTGACGGGCAAGGGCGGTTCCGAGCCGTCATCTCCGACTTTGGCCTGTGCAAGAAGTTGCAGGGAGGGCATCAGAGCTTCAGTCTCGGCTCGGGCATTCCTGGCACGGAGGGGTGGATCGCGCCCGAGATGCTCAGGGAGGATGCGCAGGAGAGCCCCGTGAGTCCGATTGACTGCCCTGCTTTTCCTGGGGTCTAGGAGTGGAAAGTCCCAGTTCTTTGGGGACTTCCCCTGACCTCCTCCCAGGGGAAATAGAGGGCCAGAGAAAAGGTAGGATAGAAATCTCACCCTGAGCCATCAAAGAATCATGGAAGCTGCTGCTTCTGGCTTCCCTTCTCTCTTGCAGACTTGTGGTGTGGACATCTTCTCCGCTGGCTGCATCTTCTACTACGTCCTGTCCCACGGGCAGCATCCCTTTGGGCACAGCTTCCATCGCCAGGCCAACATTCTTGTAGGCGCCTACCAACTGCCGAGGCTCCAGCAGGACACTCACAGTAAGGAGGGTGCTGTGGGATGCTTTGTCCCTGTGCGGTGTGTGTGTGGGGGGGAAGCTGTGCCTACTTGGGGTCTCAAACCAGCCCCTCTAAGCCTCTCTTGGCTAGCAGGACCTGGCGTAGCTCCCTGCCTCCCTGAAGCTCCTGGCTCATCTCCGGCCTCTGTTATTCAGCCATGGCCAAGACCCTTTCCCTCAGCTTCACCTGCTGTCTGCTAGGCTAGCCTACCTTGCAGGGGGGTGATAAAGGTAGTGACAAATGGCAGGTGAATGCTCAAGGCGACCTCCTGAAGGTTCCTTTCTGCTTGCTCTCCCAGGCCATCTGGTGGGGCGAGACTTGATAGAAGCCATGATCAGCAGTGACCCCCGTCTGCGCCCCTCGGCTGCCCAGGTGCTCCGGCACCCCTTCTTCTGGGGCCCTGAGAAGCAGCTGCAGTTCTTCCAGGTGAGTTCTGGGTGGTGGACACTCCTCCTGGCTTCCCTTCTCAGTCGCGCTCTGCCCTGCTGCCCACTCTCTCCCATCGGCAGGATGTCAGTGACCGCCTTGAAAAGGAGCTGGCAGACGGGCCCCTGGTCAGCACCCTGGAGGCCGAGAGCCTGATGGTGGTCCGAGGGAATTGGCAGGTGCATCTCTCTGCCCCACTACAGGCAGGTAGGCGCTTGCCCTCTCCGGACCCACTGGGTGGCCCGGCAGAGGGCGAGAACTGGAGGAGCCTTGCTAACCCGCGTGGCCCCTCTCACCCCCCCCCCTCCCAGACCTCAGGAAGTTCCGGAGATACCAGGGCAGCTCAGTCCGTGACCTGTTGCGAGCTATGAGGAACAAGGTACTCTGCCAACCCTGGCTGGGCTCTTCGGGGAATGGGAGGCCCTCTGCGGCTGAGTGGTGTTTGAGTGAGCGGGCTGCTCTCATTCGCTCGGGCACCTCCTGTCCCCCTTGTCTCACCATCACAGCCACACTGAGTGTGGCACTGTCCCTTGGGGGCCCTGGCACCTGGACCCTTTCTCCTTCAGAAGCATCACTACTACGAACTGCCCAGCCATGTCCAGGAGGCCCTTGGCAGCCTCCCCCACGGATTCATCCAGTACTTCCTGGACCGCTTCCCCCGCCTGCTGCTGCACACTTACCGGGCCCTGCGCCTCTGCGCTGCTGAGCGGCTCTTCCGGAGATACTACTGCCAGGGGGAGTGAGGTGCTTTCCAGAGGGACGGAGCTCGCCGGCCCCTGCCTCCCAGACTCCTCAGAGTGTTTGGCACATGCCAGCCTGCCCTGCTCTGGAGGGACCCATTCGTCACCAGCACAGGGCATCAGAGCCCCACCTGCTCCCTGGGGAATGGTGTTCGTGCGGTGTTCAGAAGCTAATTTGCGGGGCTTCCAGGAGGCCCCAGGCAGAAGAGAGCAGAGGAGTGGGGGGTGCTCCTCCCAAAAGAATCTGCTGCCTTCCCTTGAATTCTCCCCTGAAGAGAGTGGCCGAGCATCACATGTCACCGTGGGCTGCATTGCTGATGCAGCGTGCCTTGCGTGACCAGTAACGAACTGGGCCCTGCTGCGGACATTCCAGAGAGGGGAGTCTCCTGACCTCTAACTCAGTGGTTCTCAACCTTTTTAATGCAGCAACCCCCAACCGGTCGTATGTCGAGGACTACTCAATCGGTCGTAAGTCGAGGACTACTCAACTGGTGCAGCACCATTTGCAGAATGGGACTTTTGTCGGGCTCAGCAGGGCAGACACAGCCTGGACAATTCCTATTGGCTTTGGAAAGCCAATGAATTAGACTCTATTCAAAAGAGTCTATTCTATTGGCTTTCAAAAGCCAACAGAATAAAAGGGAGTAGCACAGCTAAGGAAAAGGGGGAAAAAATGCGTTGTTTGGCGACCCCCGTGAAATGGTCGTTCGACCCCAAATGGGATGCCGACCCACAAGTTGAGAACCACTGCTCTAATTGTAGGCATTTTATTCTCAGACACACAATGAACGTGGAAGCAGGGAGCATCTCCCCTTGCCTCAAAAGCCTTCTGGAGTGGGGCGGGGTAGTAGCAGAAAGCTGCAAATCGGATGCGTAAAGCACCCTACATAGTAGTAAGGCCTCAGACAGGAAGTAAGCAGAACACCTGTGCTCCGCTGCTGGATGACCATCAGGAAGAAGCCCTTTTTACAGCATTGTCTGGCTCCAGGAGGTGCCAATGGCAGGGCTGGGGCCCCACTTGGACTAAGATTGCACTGAGAAGGCAATTTGGGGATCAGGCTTGAGAATGTGAACTGCTGTAACTACATTTTAATTGTGATTGCACTTACACAGAAGTCCAAGGCTGGACTTATTTTAGCCATAATATGATGTACTAGACAGAATTAGATCAAATTTGAACGTGAACAGTATTGTCACTGTTGTTTTTTTAATTAGATAATTTTAATGGATTGTGGAAATGCGAGTCAAACTATAGCTTGGTTTCAGGAAAACATTTGGCAACATTTGTCACGGCTGGCTCCACAGCAGCCCTGACACTCATGTAAAGAGGACCAGGAGGGTGTCCTGGGGCCACCCAGAGATCAGCCTGTATTTTGACCATTAACGTGCCGGATCAGATTAGCACAGCAGCCCACATGGCTACCGAGAGAGAAGATCCGCTCTCCTGCATGTGCTGCTGCCATCTTTGCTGAAGGCCTAGAAAATAATGCAAGACTGATTCAGGCAGCAATCATACAGTAAACCCGGGGTTTGCTAGGGGCCACTTTTGCCTTAAAGCACAAGTTGTTTTTTTTTTTTTAGCAAAACTGTCATGACCACAGGATGGTACCAATGATGTAAATATGGCTTGGTTGCTAAACCGAATGCAGTCACGTGACCTTGGGACCCCCGACCGTTGAAATTTTGAATCTGGGTCGTAAGTACCCTCCTAGGGAGGTCCATTGCAGCTCCAGTCACTGAGTGGCTGGCTATAAGTTGAGGATGACCTCCCCAACTGAAGCAACCATGGAACATTCTGGCAGCGTTTGTCTCAGAGGACAGGTGTAACTGAGACCCTCCGATGCCCTTGCGCAAAGACCACCAGAGAGCCAGTGTGGCCCCTGATCATGTTCTTCGTCTTGCTGTTGGCCCATGGGGGGTTCAGCCCGTTGGAGCATCAGATCAGCAGTTGTGTTCACTGGACTCAAGCCAGCCGCTCATCGAACGGTCTGTTGGGTGAAGCCCAGCAAGGCTATTTGGCAAACTGTGTTTAGCTGTACAGTGATAAAAATCTCCCACAGTAAACCATGGAAGCAACAGAAGCATGCCTAAAATGGGTTTGTCTTACGTATAAAAGTTAGCTAAAAATATCCCCGCCAGGTTCTGGGTTCTAATTGTGAGGACAGAGAAGATCAGCACTTCCATCTCTGGAGGGGCATCCCCACAAACATGCCCCTTTCTGCCACTTTTGGTAGGAATAGAGGAAGAGAGGGCTTCCTGAACCAGTCGGGCTCAGCCGTTAAGGTCCTTAAAAGCGGTGACGAAGCGCCAGCATGGCTCCTTAGGGTCAGCAACGGCCCAGGGATCAGCAGACGACAGCTGTGGGGCAGGCATTCCCTGTCCGAGCAGGACCACTCTGGACATGCACGATGCCTTGGGAGTGGGGAGTACATCCAGGCAACAAAGGGTCCCCACAGCCTGAGGCCTCCATCCTGGGTTTGCTGGTCCTTGTCAAGCCCATCCCCCTTCCATCACTTGGGGGTCGCTCACCTGTGGGTGCACCAAGTCTCCAGTGACCCAGGATCTCCCTCAGGAAGTTCAACTGAAGGCTGCCATTCACTGCTTGTGGGGTCTTTGGCTGCAATCGCGAGAAATCCCCAGCCCAGGCACTCCAGGTTGCTGGAAGGGATGGGAGTGGACCTCAGAACAACTGTGGTCCACTGCCTGGCTAAGAAGACCTGGCCTGGGGGTTGACGAGAGCCGCTCCCCCTCGTCTCCTATGCATTCCCTTCTGCCTCAACTCACGACGCTTGTGCAAGGGCAGTGCTGTGAGCTGACCTTCGCCCCCCATGCCACACCCCTCCCAAGAGGAGAAGGTGGGCTGGGGTGGAGGCCAGCTTTGGCGGAGAAGTCAGGCAAAGCTCCTTCAGAGGTCGGCCAGGGCTATACATACTTTTCCCGCCTTGGGACGCTCTCGTGGCTTTGGCCAAAACCGCCTTTATTGCAGGGTTTCATGGCCACCCTCCCTTCTGCACAGGGCTGGCGGCTGTGGGAGACATTGGTGGGCTTAGAGAGGAAAAGCTCAGCTGGAATAGTCCTCAGTAACAAAAAAAGCAAGCAAAGGCCTGATTCTCCGTTGCACAAAGCCAAAAGGAAACGAGCCGTACAGCCGCTAAGCCACAGCTGCAGCCGCCTGACTGGAAAGGAGCTGCCTCATCCGTTAGTGCAGGGCCTGAGCCCACCTCCAGAGAGGGGCTTGAGAAGGAATCTGGCTGGGTGAAATCTCTTTATTCAAAGTGAGTATAAAACAGTTTAGTCTGAATGGGGGGCAGAAAAGGGGAGGGGACTTTCCTATCAGAATCTGGAGAAATGGCATCTTGTTATGTTACAGTCCTTTTGTTGCCAAGGGCCCCTTGGGCCCCCAAAGCAGCCTGGGGCCTTGTGGGGCCTGGCCAGGGAGGGCCCTCCACGGGGGCTGCACTGTTCTGAGCCAAGCGGACCCTCCTCCGGCTCTAGCTTGGCGCCTTTGTGGAGGGGGCTCCCGATTTGGAGGACAGCAGCTTCTCCACCATGGTGCGGGCATAACGGAGGCGGCTGGCCAGTTCCTTGCAGCAGCCAAACTCCTCAATCAGGGCCAGTTTGTAGGTGTGGAACTCGCGCCGTTCGTTGATGTAGGTGACGGCGGCCATCAAGGGGCAGAGGATGAGCTTGGTGTGGTCCTGTGTGCCAAGAACAGATAGCGCCGGGCTCGCTTAGCATCAGGAGGAAGCAGTCCCTAATGGCAAAGCACTCGGGCCTACCCTCCTAAAAGCAAGCCTGTGGCCTCATTCTGAGAAGGGATTCAGGGTTTCAGCTAGGAGGACCCCAGGCCTGGGGGCTGCGAGAACTACAGGGCTAATTCAGAAACATTGTCTGCCTCCTTTCCTCCCAGGAAGGCCAGATGGATGGGAAGGGGGGGTCAGTTCCTCCATCACTGAAGCCTTGCAAGACCACTGTTTGTTCCCTCTCTGGTGGGCAGCTCCCACCTGCCCCCCCCCCCACCACAGAGGACTCCACAGCCCACTCGTCACCTGGAAGAAGTTGACCTGCACGGTGCCATTGCTCAGGTGCATGACGATGGCACTGCGGGTGCGGAACCAGTTCAAGAGGTAGGGCAGCCGGGCCAACTCGTCCCCTTCCCGGGGGGTCACGTTTGCACCAGCTTTCAGCAAGTGTGCGGGTGCGGAACCAGTTCAAGAGGTAGGGCAGCCGGGCCAACTCGTCCCCTTCCCGGGGGGTCACGTTTGCACCAGCTTTCAGCAAGTGTTCACTCATGTAGTTCTGGAAATACTCCAGCAGCTTAATCTGAGAAGAACGGAGCAGAGCGGATTAACCGACCAGGGCAGGGCTAAACCACAGCACAAGAAGACCCCCTTCCAGGAAAAAGCCAGAATGCCCCCCTCCTCTGCATCCTTGGCCCTGCAGCCTTGCCCATCTCTTGGACGGGAGCATCCGTCCACCAAGTCTTTTGACCCACCGGCTGGAAATAGATAGGGATGCCCCTTCAAGCACAGACTCAAGATTGCAACGGAGGAGACCGTCTTCCCTCCTCCTCCCCATCAGAGACAGAAGGGGAAACTGAGGCAAGGATACAGCAGTGCTCCAAGGGTCCTCCCTCACCTTCTTGCTGAAAGTATCTGGGTAAGAGTGCACGTCAAAATACAACTCAGAGCCGTTCTGGTCAATGTATTGCAGCTTGTCCCCATCACTGTACATGATGAGGCGAGTAGAGTCGTTGAAAAGGACCCCCACACTGTTGTCACACAGTTGGTAGCCTGCGGAAGAGAAGGCAGGGGCGTCCTCAGCTACCTTGGATCAGGCCGCAGTCCCACAAGGATTGCTTTGACCTAGCCGGAGAGCAAGACTGCACACAGCCAGGCACATGCTGTCTGCATGCAGGGAGCGTTTGGGAATCGGGCCAAGACCACCGAGGCATCTGGCTGGATCGCACCCTTTCTCCGCACACGATGGGGAAAGCCCTGACTGGCACAAGAGATTTAGCTGGACTGGGAAAGAGCGCTGTCTAATTCCCTCAGGAAACCAGAGTCTTTTAAAAGGAACATATTACAGCTAGCCCTGCTCAACTTATGACCACTCATTCAGATGAAGAATGGCCTTACCGCCCGTGGCCAACATTAATATGGCTGTTGCAATGCCCCCGTGACCGTGTGACCCTTTCAGCTACAAGCTGAGAGGAGTGGGAAGGCCACTGCAGGGCCATGGGGTGCGTTGCTGGGAGACCTGAAAGAGCAGGTGGGGGACAGGTCATCGTGGGGAAAATATCAGTAATTTCATAGTACATAATCAGTTAAATCTCTTTAACTCAATCCAGAAAAAGAGAGAAGCAAAAGGGAGAGAAATTGCTGGAATTCTGACAAACATGTCACCAGCCTAATTAGTGCAAAATTTCCTGGGTTAGGGTGCAGTTTGAGACCCGCAAGTGTTGACAGACTGACAAATGTCAAGAGAAACGCCAAATGAATTCTCTCTACATTCATATCTGATCAAATCAAACCACTTTGATTTTGAGTTCAGCCAGTATCAATCTCACATCTGTTGTCCCTCGTATCTTTTAGGGCCTGTGGGGGGCAAGACCAGGGCAAACTGGCCCTCCTCCAACCTCCAAGAGGGTCTGCTCTTCCCAAGACTCCCCCCCCCCATTCACATAAAATACAGAAAAATCAACCGTCCTTGCAGGGAAAATGGAGCTGGGGTGACGGTGGCTGTTTGCAGAGTATTCCCACCCAAGGGCCATTGGTCAACCCAGCCCCCTGCCCCGAGACCACCTACCTACCTAGCCCATATTTGTCAGAGTAGTCCACCCACTTGCTGACCCAAAAGAGGGGGATGCAGGCCGGGTCCTCAGCCTCCTCTGGGGAGAAAACAGAGAGAAGCCGGAGTGAAGAAGCGCCCCGGGTTGGTCAGCTCGAAAGCACGGCCTCAGCCGGCCGTCCCTCACCTTGCCTGATGGGAGTTTTTTCCGAGGGCCGGCAAGCGTTGACTTGCATCAGCTGCTGCAGCAGGTCGGCCAGGTAGCAGGGCAGGGACTGTCCCGACTCCGGTAGGGTGCCGGCATTGTCCTCCTTCTCAGTCACCTTCTCCGGGGCGGGGCTCTCCGGTCCTGCGCCAGGGAGGAACCGGCAAGGCTCAGAGGCTGTGCAGCCCAGGGCCGCAGGGCAGGTCCGCCAAAGCCTCGCTCAACTCACCTTTGTTCACCACCGCGAGAGGCCTCCTACTGCTGGGGTCGAGGCTGCTGGGCGCCAGAGAGAAGCGGGGAGGAACCGTAAGACAGGTGGTGGGCAGCCGCGAAGGGATGTAGCCCACCGTGAAGAACTCCTCGTTCAGCAGTTCGTCAATGGTGGGGCGGGCAGCCGGGTCGTGTTGCAGCATCTTCTGGATGAGACTGGCAGCCGCGGGGTTGATGTGCTGGACAGACAGACAGAAGGTCCACAGGCCATTCCTGCAGAAGCCGGTTCCTCACAGGCCAGGAGGAATTCAGCAGCCGCCCCATCAACAAAACCTCCTGCTTGACCCTCCCCTTCATGAGGCTACAAAGCCAGTGCTGAGCATTCTGACCCAGGACCTGCCCGGCTGGATTCCAGGCCACGCAAAACAAGAGCTGCAGGAGAGCCTGAGGTCTGAAAGCTCAACAAGCTGGAGGAGCCAGATTGTTGGGAGGGCTGTAAAGCGGTATATGAGTCTAAGCGCTATTGCTATTAAGCCAAGGGGCTCAAGCAGCAGGATGGAGCAGTCTAATTCTTATAAACATTATTTAATTTTTATGCCTCCCCTCTCCCTTATAAAATGACTTGGGGCAGCATAAGATTCCAGCCATTGAAATGAAAATGACTGAAAAGGGGCAACTACCAAATGCTGCTAAACGATAATCTGTTAAGGAGTCCGGCTCACACAGCCACAGGAGGAAGAGAGCGGGGGAGCTCCGAAAAGAACCCACCGTAGGAATCGTGTATGCGTTGTTCTTAATCCGAATATACGTTTCTTTCAAACAGGAGGTTTCAAAGGGGGGCTTCCCAACCAGAAGGGTGTACCTGCAAGGAGAGAGAGCTTCAGAACAGCTGCCCATAAAGCCTCCTCTTCCAAGAGGCCCAGGGCGCCTTTGCCCACCCCGTGCTGATCTTCAGAAGGCAGAGCTGCTTCCCCCCCCCCCACTTCTGGGATCATGAGGAGAACACCTGCACTCTGCATCAGACACACCTGAATCCCCCAAGCGCAGTGCAGGAAGGGTTTACCTGTTGAGCCACCCAGCTGATGGGCTCTCAAGTCCGTGGGGTCTAAAGGTGGCTTTTGTCACTGATAGGTCACGCCTAATAATTATGGGAAGGGACTTCAAACAGCTACAGATTATTCAGCAAATCCCAGTTAAAACAAGCCAAAGCTGAGCTCCTTGAATTTGCCCCACCTTCTTACAGAGAAAGCCAGTCCTGCAAGTGTCTATGGAGATCCTCAGCTGTCCAGGTCATGGTTGTCCCAAAGGAGCTTTTGCAAGAGGCAACTGGACTGTTTTGCTAGAAGACCTCTTGCTTCTCACCCTGAGAAGCTTCCTCAGTTCTGACTGAATGGTGGAGAATGGAAGGATTTATATTCCTTGCAGTCATCTGGTCATTAGACCTCTGTTGAGGTCGTGACTGCAAGGAATATAAATCCTTCCATTCTCCACCCTTCAGTCAGAACTGAGGAAGCTTCTTGGATGAGACGTGAAGTGTCTTCCAGCAAAACAAGAAAGTCCAGTTGCCTTTGAAAGAAAGCACCTTTGGGACAAGACCTGCAGGGTCCCACCCAGCCCCTACTTGTCCATCCCCCAATCTGCAGAACTGGGAGTTGTGGGCAAGACTCCCCTCCCCAAAGCTCTGGGTGCCTGTCCGTCTCTGTCTGTGTAATTTTCCTCTTGGGATTTCCACTTACATGATGCAGCCGATGGACCAGATGTCCACTTCAAAGCTGTGCCCTTTCTTGCCCAGCACTTCGGGGGCAATGTAGTTTGGCGTCCCACAAAGGGTCTTCTTCCGCTCTCCGTCATACTCCACCCTGGTGGCCAAGCCGAAGTCACCTGGACAGATACAAGCCCCGGGCTCCTGAGTCCGGGTTTGCTAGAGACCCAAATCCAGCAGGCAGAGCCATCCAAATACTCTCCCAGGTGCCTGAGCTGCAGAGCAGGAGAGGGTCCCCAAGCCACAGTCCAGCTGGCTCTCGCAGCTCCGAGAAGCCCCTTTCCCCAGGCCCAGCCGTCTCGCAGGCCCTCCAGGCACTTGACGCCAACAGCTACAAGTCTGGAAAACCACTTGAATCCTAACCCCTTTTTCCTCTTTTGGAAAAAACGATCAAAGAGCAGCCGTGATATTCTAAATATCATCAGGTTTTAGGAACTGTGACGTTTAAGCAACAGCCGTCCCCGAGTTCCAGGAATCATCCCCAGGGCCAGCGAGTGGCAAGTTCTAGAGATCGGCCATTGCTGCTTCTTGCTCCTGCTTTGCCTATCGTAATACTTGGCCTCCTTGCTGGGCTTCACCCCAGGAGGCCTGGAACTAGCCAACAGTCAGGCCCTCTGGTCTCCTGGGTGTGTGTGTGTGTGTGAGAGAGAGATGCCAGACCCGTTGTCTGTCTTGGGGTAGTGGCAACGGGATCTGGAGGCCACTCCCTGCCACTTGCCATGGACAGATTACTCCCTAGTAACCCACAGTTCACCATGACATCCCCCCCACTCCCAAAAGGTAGGGAGGGCTCTTCAATCCAGCTACTCGAGGAGCCAAGAGGATCTAAGGGGTGCCAGAGAAGGGCAGCTAGCCTTCCACATCTGGTGGATGCAATTGCTCAGATTTGCTCTGACTCCAGCTGGGCTCTCGGGGGAGGCCTCGTCTTGGGACCTTCTCTGGAAAGACTTTGATCCCGAGGGTTTCGAGGAAGTAGCCAGGGTCCTCAGCCCTGCAGACACAGCCACAGGGGCTTTAGGGCTTCACCTCCAGAGAAGATTCAGGCAGTGGCGAATGGCTCTTGGCCCAAGGGGATGGTTACAGCCTGCCTGATAGAAATGGTGGGTTGCTCCTGCCTCAAGAACGCATCGCTGGGTCTCTCGGTTTGGTCAGTCTTTGTCCAGTCTCCAGCCTCCTCTTTGGGGGGGGGGGGTTGTGGAGGTAGCTGATCTGCAGTTCAGGGAATCCTGGAAGCAGCAGATTACCTGGAACCCTTCCAGTCAGGTCCCAGAGTGGCATAAGTGCACTGGTTGATGACCTCTGAAGCAGGGATCCACTGGTTGCCCTGGTTGATAATCTCTGGAGCAGGGGGGGTCCTCAACTCATGGGCTATGGCCACTACCGGGCCATAGCCTATTCAGAACTGAGCCACAAGCCCCGCGCGCAAGCGCAACTCCCCTTGCTCAAGCTGGTGCACATACATATATGCACTGGACCGCCGCTCATGTGAGTGGAACTGCAAGTATGCGCATGCATGCCGGACTGCCACTCACACGGCCTGGATTCCCCTCTCCCTCCCCAGCTGGGCCGCCAAGCCACAAAGGTCAGGGACCGCTGCTCTGGAAGACCTGAGTTGGGGGAATCCTTAATTCTTTTGAATCTCTCGGCAGCCTTAGAGACCATCGACCAGGGTGCCCTTCTGGACCGGCTCAGGAGATCCGGTGGGAAAGGCAGTTTTACAGGATGACTCCTTCTTCCAATCCAGGTTCATGTTGATGGAGGGGGCAGCAGTCTAGCCCATGTCCCCTTATTTAACCTCTATGTCAGTGGTTCTTAACCTTTTTAATGCCGCAACCCCCAACCGGTTGTAAGTCAAGGACTACTCAACCAGTCGTAAGTCGAGGACTACTCAACTGGTGCAGCACCGTTTGCAGAATGGGACTTTTGGCGGGCTCAGCAGGGCAGAGACAGCCTGGACAATTCCTATTGGCTTTTGAAAGCAAATAGAATTAGACTCTATTCAAGAGAGTCTATTCTATTGGCTTTCAAAAGCCCATAGAATAAAAGGGAGTAGCACAGCTAAGGAAAAGGGGGGAAAAAATGGCGGACTGCGTTGTTTGGCGACCCCCGTGAAATGGTCGTTCGACCCCAAATGGGGTCCTGACCCACAGGTTGAGAACCACTGCTCTATGTGATGTCCTCAACTGTACATCTCTGCCCCAGCTAACCTAGCGAAGCTTCTCTCCGGGCCCAGAGGCTATGGGTTTGGGGCCTCACAGATCCTGGAGATGGAGATATAGCACCCTCTAATCTGGGTGGGGCTGCAGTTGAAGAAGCTACAGTGAGCACAGAATGGATGGCATGGATAATTACGGGGGTCTCTTGCTATGTCCATATAATGCCACAAGCTGCACTGGCACCCAAAGGGCTTCTGGGCACCATTCAAAGTGCTGCTATCACCCATAAAGATCTTCAAGGCATAGAACTGAGTCACCTGTGGGACAACCTTCTTCTGAGAGCATCTGCCCAGCCTACGGATGGGCACATTCCTTCACTAAGAGCATGCCTCTAATGGACCCAGGAGGTAGCTGGACCTTCTCTGGGCAGCCTTTGGGGACCATCGTCCACTGGCAGGTTGAGCAGAATTCCCCACTGATGAACTCTAGAAGTTTTCAGTTCTATTCCCCATTTTAATGTTTAAATCTGACTGTCAACGCTGCTAACATCGGATGTTCTTGCTTCGACAACAGATGGAAATGCAGCCATTTTTCTTTATTGCTTTTAGAGTTCGTTGATGCTGGGAGGGGGAATGTGGATGAGAGTCCAGCTAGTCATAACAATAATAACTCAGTCGTGGGAACCCAAGGTCGTTGGGCCCAGAGTTGATAGAGTTTTGGCGGGCTGGAGACTGGGGAGAAAGACTGCTCTTCAAGCTAACTGGGGAATGTGATTTATGACTGTTTATTGGAGGAGGGAATTGTACTTTTGTTATTTTGTGTCCCGGGGAGGGGAATTTAGTTTTTGGTTTCGACTATGTAGTGCCGACACTTTGTTTCTCGAATAAAAGATTCTTTAAGGTAAACAATGCCTCAAAGTTCTTTTGAAGAGTTTCATCTGTCAGAACCAGGACACTGACTTTGTATGAATTATGTTTTCCCTTTTTTGCATGTCATCCAGAATCACAGTTCGAGTTGGGCAGCCCCATAAATGGGAAATGCCTTCAGCGTCATGGAGAGAGTGAACGGACTGGCCCTTCTCCAGGCCTGAAAAGCGGCGGGGCAAAACCCCTCCCAGGCCGGGGGGCCTCCTACCCCCTCAGCCATGCCCAGAGAATGGGACCACAGCCCACTCACCAATCTTCACTTCCATGTCATCGTTCAGAAACAGGTTGCCCAGCTTGAGGTCGCGATGGATGACGCGGTTGCTGTGCAGGTATTGGCAGCCCAGGATAATCTGCCGCAGGTAGTAGCGGGCCTCGGGCTCTGTCAGGGCTTTCCGACGCTTGTGCAGTTCCAACAGGGACTGGGGGAGAGAAGAACAGCCCGGGAAGCACTGTGAGAAGCTGTGATCGGGAGAGGCAGGTGCCCCACCACTATAGGAAACATGGTTGAAAGAGGTTAATCCATGTTTCCTCATAAAAGCATTCAGATACCTTGGGGAAAATCAAAGCAGGTGTGCTACTTGTAAGTCTCCTTATCTCGGCCGCTAAACTAGAAGAACTGATCTGAAAGATTTTCACTACTTGACCGGCTCAAGAAACGCCAAGTGCGTTTTTCTGAGCCAGCTGTAAATGACCGGATTCCTACAGCAAAGTCACTACATTAAGGATGAGTCAGTGTCCATGTCCTCCTCACTGGGAAAGTGACAGGAGACCCTGCAAATAAAAGCCACAAAAACCCAGCCCCAAGAGGCGTAAATCTGCTAGATTTGCCCTGGGCCAAGAGGCTAAACAAACTCCAAGGAAGGATACGAACACAGAACTTGTGGATCTGAGGAAAGAATGAGCAGACATCAAAACAGTCCTTTTGATATACCCTCCCAGCCCTGCCAGCAATTGGGAACTCCAGAAGCAATGTAGCCTCTGAGCTGCTCATCCTCTAAAGCAGGGGGCGGATCCAATGTTGGCAACTTTACGACCTGTGGACATCAACTCCCATGCTGGCTGTGGAATTCTGGGAGTTGAAGTCCCCAAGTCTTAAAAGGCTGGCAGCCCTGCTCTAAACCCTCTCAGGCCGCTGCCTCTCCTCAAAGGCACAGGGAAAGCTGTCAGCACACTACTCCCACTTCCTCGCCCACCACTGTGAAAGCGACAGGACAGGGACTCTTTTGACCTCTGCACCAGCCATGTTGCAAGAACCCCGGCAATCCCGATGCCCAAAGGAAGCTGCTCTGCAAACGTAGCAAAGCTTCGCCAAGTAATACAGAAACCCAGTCTGGAGACATAGCCTCCCCTGCCTCCAAAACTGGGAGGGGGGCTCCCCTGCCCCCAGGAGAAACAGCCCCACCCCATTTCTACTTGCGCTGGACAAGCCAAAGTAGGGTTCCCCTCGCCAATGATGACGCCCTCTACAAAAGCGCAAATCCCTCCCTCCCGACTCTGAAGAGGATGAATTCCTCCCCACCCTTTGCTCAAAAATCAAACTTTGCAGGTTTCTGCCTGGCCCAAACAGTCCTCAGGTTGAACCTTCGTATTCTAAATGGTGCTCCAGCCAAATTCACCTTCAGAGTGAGGGATTAGTCCCCCCCCCTGCAGAGGCCCTGGGAGCTATGCCTAAATCTGCCAGCAGCCCTTTCAATCAAGAGTCGCCTCCTGCTACCGACCCCTACTCCTGCCAGCCACAAGAACTTACTGCCGAGCCAAGCGGACACCCCCCCCCCAAAAAAAATCAAAGGATAACTGAAGTCACCTCCAGTCTGCCCTGAGTCCTGCCAAGTCTCCTGGAGAAGTACAACACCCATGGTTGGATAATGCCAAAAAAGCTCTTGCTACCACTTAATAGAGTTATGTACCCAATTCTACACCAGGAGCAGCACAGGATCTCCTGCTAGAAGCAACTGCTGGCATGCGAGAAAGAGGAAGCCACGGGAAACGGCCAGAGAGGCTCGTTCAGGCAGCCAGAGCCAATGAGTCAGCTGTTTCTGGCACATCCCGTAAAGCTCCCAAAGAAAGGGGCCAGCCAGTTAGACCCTCACATCCGCCCAGGGACCCGGGAGGCATTCTTTCGGAGTCTCATCCTGTGGGTCGAGACCCCATTTGGGGTCGAACGACCATTTCACGGGGGTCGCCAAACAAAACAACGCAGTCTGCCATTTTTCCCCCCCTTTTCCTTAGCTGTGCTACTCCCTTTTATTCTATTGGCTTTTGAAAGCCAATAGAATAGACTCTCTTGAATAGAGTCTAATTCTATTGGCTTTCCAAAGCCAATAGGAATTGTCCAGGCTGTCTCTGCCCTGCTGAGCCCGCCAAAAGTCCCATTCTGCAAACGGTGCTGCACCAGTTGAGTAGTCGACTTACAACCGGTTGAGTAGTCCTCGACTTACGACCAGTTGGGGGTCGCGGCGTTAAAAAGGTTGAGAACCACTGCTTTATATGGATCCCTCCCCTGGAAGTGGACGTCCTGGCCAAACTATAGAGAATCTGCCCACGTGGGCACCAGTGTCTTGTTGCCCAATTAAGACCAGGGAAGACCTCTAGAAGACCTATTCCCTCCAGGGACCATTAAAAACAATTTGGGCTTCTGGCCTCGCTCTTTACCCGCAGCAGCACCTGAGGCCTTGTGATCCTTGTCCCTATATATGTAAAGAGGGGGGAAAGGATGATCCACCCTGATCAGTCTCCTCAAACACAATCCTCAATCTGTGCAAGACACCCAAGAGGGAAAGCCTACATCTGGCTGGAAGAAGAAAAGATACTTTTGCAGAAGAGCAATTCGCTTTGAGGGAGGGAGGATCCTTCCGCCACTGATCAGTGCGCCAACATAAAGAGAGCTTGCCTCATTGAAATACTATTGATAAATGTACTGACTGAGCCCAGTTAGAAACTTATCTACATGAACATGATATATTTGTGGGAAACAGCGAGGGAATGTTACTGATGTAATCTGAGATATATATGAATGTCTTTGTTATGGACTGATTTCCCTAGCACCATGCTGCTAAGTATTTGGATGTTAAAATTTGAAAAATTAATAAAACGTGTTTTAAAAAAAAAGAGAGAGGGAGGTTGCCTCCTCCCACAAGGCAACCTCTCTTTACGCCCCATCCTAGACTTCAGTGAAGGAGGCTCCTCCATTGACTGATGTATACTTTATCCAATAGGCAGGGCTCAAAGTAGGATGCAACCCCCAGGCCGCTGGAATGAGAAAGGGGCAAAGGCGGCTGCCGCCTATCCAAGTTCACCTATCCCAACTTCCGTCCTGTGCCAAAAACCAGCTCTAGCGAGTCCAGGGTCATTCAAGAGGGCCCGCCATTGTCCCTGATCTCGCTTGCTAGGCGCTCCTAGCCCCCTCCACTGCTCCTACCCCTCCTTTTAGATTCTTTTTAGGTTTTAGTTTCTATACTTTTAGGGTTTTGCATGTAATTTTTTTTAAGTCTGATGTATCTTTTATGCTTTTTAATCCTTTATAGTCCACCCTCCTTTTGCTGGTCTTTGGCCATAATAGGGTGTTTTTTTTTAAAAAAAAAAGTTGTAAAGCTCACCTGGGGGAGGCAGGAGGAGGAAAGTGTGAAAGGGAAGCCCAGACACACCGTCCCTCGAGTTGCTTTCAGGCAGGTGGGACAGGGAGGAGCCCAAAGAGGCTTCAACGGGGACGTCGGGGCCAAGTCAAGGAAGAGGAGCAGTTGGGCAAAGCCAGGGGTCTCTTGAGGGCTGCAGCCCCTCTTCTCCCGAGCCCGGCCAAGCGCCGCCTTCCTCTCTCCCAGGACCGCCACGACTTCTGCGAGCCCCCCCCTCTTTAAGGGGGGGATCCCGACTCCCTTAAAGGTCCAAGGTCAGCCCCACGTCCATTTGCTCCTCTTCGCTTATATTCTGCATTTAGAGGTCTGCCGACGGCATTACCACCCGGTTGCAGCAAGGAGGAGCGCCACTCCCCCCCCCGGAGCACCAGAAAGAATCCAGGCGGAGGAGGAAGCAACTGACCCCGACAGAAACGGTCGCTTTCGAAGGGGGACCTCAGCGCCCCCCCCCACCCTACCCTGCGGCTCGTCCTTCGGCTTTCCTGGGCTTCGCTTGCAGTAAACGGCGGCCGAGGGGAGGCGGGGAGGGGAAGCTGCCGCTGCGCCTTCCCGCCAGCCACCGGCGGGCCGGGAGGGGGCCGTTCCCACCGGCCAGGCGCTTGCAGGAGCAGGACCGGGGCTGGGGTGGGGGCGCTCCGACGGGACCTCTGGCCACGGGCGGCGCCCCCCCTCCCGCTTCCCTCCCTCCCGCCGCGGCGCCCGCCCTGCCTACCCGCCGGCGGCAGAGCTCGAGCACCACGAAGACGAAGTGGCTGTCCTCGAAGAAGCCCCGGAAGGCCACCACGTGCGGGTGCTGGAGGCTGCGGTGGATGGCGATCTCCATGGCCATCTTCTCCTTCTGCGGCGCCTTCAGCAGCAGCGCCTTGGGCACCACCTTGCAGGCGAAGGCCTCGCGGCTCTCCGCCTCCGTGATCTCGTAGCACTTGGCGAAGCCGCCCTTGCCCAGGAAGCGGCCCAGGCTGTAGCAGCGCCGGCTGCGCGGGTCCACCAGCACCTCCGGCACCGCCCGGCTCTCCGACGCCGGCCCCGAGGAGGACGCGGGCGCCGCCGCCGTCGCCGCCGGGACCGCCCCCCGCCCGACCCCCGCCACCCGGGGGCCCCTGCCGGGCACCGCCGCACTCATCGCCGCCGCCGCCGCAACCCTCGCCCGCCGCCAACGCCGCCGGAGCTGGGGGAGCCGGAGCCGGAGCGTTACGGGCGGCCGAGCGCGCTGCCCATTGGCCGGCAGGATTTAAACTGCAACCCGCCTCCCGCGCCGCTAGGCAGCACGGGAGGGAGGGGAGGGGCTACGGGGAGGAGCCGGCAGGGAACCGCCTCCCGGGCGCGGGCAGCGGGGCGCGAGCGGTCCTTTCGCGGCCGTCCGGAGCTTCCGCGGATCCGACGGAGCCGCGCGCTCCCGTCCGCTGCTCGCACCTCCCGTCCGCCCGGGGTTGGGGGGAGGCTGGCCCGCCGTGGGTCTCCTCTCCCGGGCTGAGCTGCGGCTGCCCCGAGCGCGGCCCCTCGGGGGGCTCCAGGGAGCGCCGGAGGCGACTGCTCCGCCCTGCCAGAGGCCGCCGGGCGGTTCGGGGGTCCGGAAGGACGGAGCCAGCCCGGAGGCGGCGGCGGCGGGTCCGCGCTGGAAGCTCGGGGCTCGGAGAATGGGAGGGAGGGTCGCTTAACGGAAGGTTGACCCCGACCATTCTTTCCCGCTACCCTATCGGCTGAGGCTGTCAGGCTGGACTCCCGGAGGAATTTTCCGCCACGGTGGAACGGGCTGCCCGCGAAGTGGGCTCGTCCTGGCCGGGGGTCTTCAAAGCGGCTGTCGGAGAAGTTCCGCTGGAGCCTGGGCTGAACTGGGGATCGTACAAACTGCAGCCAGGATCCTGTAGCTGAACGCCAAGCCCGCCCTTCCTCCGCAGGCGCTGCTCAGCTCTGCCCGAAGGTGCCCCCTCGCCCTCCCCCCGTGGAGATGCTGGGCCATGGGCTCCGCCCCCCCCCCCCCAGTATACCTAGATTTCAATAAGGCAGTGTTTCCCAAACTTGACAATTTTAAGGCATGAGGACTTCAACTCCCAGAATTCCACAGCCAGCAACGCTGGCTGTGGAATTCTGGGAGTTGAAGTCCACATGCCTTAAAATTGTCAAGTTTGGGAAACACTGCAATAAGGCATTTGACAAAGTGGACCACAACTTACTCCTTGGTAAGCTAGAAAAAAGTGGAATAGACAACATCACCACCAGATGGATCTGTAGCTGAGTGACAAACCATACTCAACAAGTAGTCATCAATGGCACTACATCCACATGAGAGAAGTAAGCAGTGGGGTACCACAAGGCTCCGTCTTAGGCCCAGGACTCTTCAACATCTTCATCAATGACTTAGATGAGGGAATTGAAGGGGAACTCATCAAATTTGCAGATGACACCAAACTGACAGGAGTAGCCAACACGCCAGAAGACAAACTCAGGATCCAAAAAGAGCTTCACCAACTTGAACAATGGGCCCTATCCAACAAAATAAGTTTCAATGTGGAGAAAAGCAAAGTCTTACACTTAGGCAGAAAAAACCAAAGGAACAAATATAGATTGGGCAAGACCTGGCTTAAGAACAGTAACTGTGAGAGGGACCTTGGAATTCTTAGAGGACGATCACTTGACTGTGAGCCAGCAGTGTGCAGCAGCAACCAAAATAGTTAATACAGTCCTGGGTTGTATAAACTGAGGCATAGAATCAAGATCAGGTGAGGTATTGGTACCGCTTTATAAAGCCCTAGTAAGACCACACCTGGAATATTGCAGCCAGTTTTAGTTACCATATCACAAAAAAGATGTTGAGAGTTTTGAAAAAATTCAGAGAAGAGCAACTAAGATGATCAAAAGCCTGGAGAGTAAGATAGGCCACTTTTGCTGATTAGAATCGGTCTGTCATGGACCCCTGGACATCCACCCTCCCACTGCCAGTTCTAAAATATTCCCTCAATCTGGATCTCATGAAGAACCAGTTTATTGAAATAAAAGTTTTACCTGACTGAAAGCATCTTCTTTGAATTTCATACCATCCCTTCCTTTTGCATCATCCAGGGAAAGGGGGTAATTCTGCATTTTTCCATCTGTGGTGTGATGTAAAACCTGAGCCCTTTCTGATCCTAGGACTCTGAATTTTGCTTACCAGGGTCTGATCTGTGGCTTCATTAAGATGTCTCAGGTGGGCAAGATTACTGCAGGTCAGTTGAATCTTGTTGCACCGAAGATAAATAACTGAAGATTAATATAATCACAACAATGTCTGACGGTCTGGTTTGAACGCAAGCAACTTTGGGACAAAATCTGAATGGTTCATTGCATTTTCTGTTTAGGTAAAGGCAACATTATATAATTCAACTGCAAAGAGCTTTAATATTATTTAATTCCCCAATAACTTTCCAAGATCAAAAGTTACAAAGTGAGAAGCAGAAAACATATGCATATTCAATGTTTAGACTGCTTCTGTAGCCAAAAGCTGCTCTATTTTTTTTCCAGATAGACCATACCAGTCCATGGAGACTCTATCAAACATTGTTCTAGCTATATTTTATTTTCACCTACATTAATTGTCATCAATGAGAATTTTCCTCTCTCTTCCCTCCAAAACACTTTTGCCTTCCCTTCTCATCCTTCAGGACTCCCCCCTCCCTTTCTCCTTTTCTTAACCTTTTTGTCTCATCAGTATTCCTACTTTCCTGATTCCCTCTTATTGCTGCCATAAGCAGAGGCACCTGCCTTTCTTTCCCTCTAAATCCAGCCTATCCTCCCTTTTCTCTCTCTCTCTCATTTATTTATTTATTTATTTATTTATGAGACTTATATATTGCTTTAAGTGCAAGCACTCTCTAAGCGGTGTACACCAGTAAGCAATGTATATATATATTTACATTGCCCCCAACAATCTGGGTCCTCATTTTACCTACCCCGGAAGGATGGAAGGCTGAGTCAACCTTGAGCCGGTGAGATTTGAACCGCTGACCTGCTGAACGCAGTCAGCTAAAGTGGCCTGCAGTACTGCACTCTAACTGCTGCGCCACCTCGGCTCTTTCCAAGGAGAGGAAGGAATTGCTGGTTGCAAACAAGCTGAGACCTCATGGAGGAGAGTATTTGCAGCTCAGGCCTGATCTGTGGTAATGTGGGAAAGAAATAGAATAACATAGAATAAAGAAGAATAAAGTAGAATAATAATAATGAAAAATCACTAAAAGCAAAAATCATGTGTCTGCATAATTTCTGGAAGAAAGCTGTGTTAGCAGAAAGCTGTATTAACAGTACGTGAATGACCTAATGCATATTTAGAAACATTGTTTAAAAGTAAAAACTGCCTTCATTGTATTCCCATGAGAAATGGACCTAATGTGTGAGAAACTATCTGAATGTTACACAAAGTAGATTCCATATACAATGTAAGATTCCATCTATGCTTCTTTTGTTCCTGAGAAAAAGAAACCTATAAAGCTTTAGTTTAGACCCTCCCCCTTGTTCAGAAATTTGCTGATTGTAAATCGCTTCTGAATCTTTGCACAAAAATAAAAACCTCTCTTTCACCCTTGGAATTCGTAAAAGTCTTTTATTTTTTAAGGCTTTTATTTTTCCACAAGAGTGGGGTCCTTGGTGCTGAGTTTGTTGGTTTTCTTGCAGTCACTTGTTCTGCACAGGACCTAATGATGATGACAGTGATGTTAATCTGATAAAGGATTTAAAGATTCAGCAGAGTGATGGCACGAGGGGAAAAAACTGTCCCTAGGTCTGGTTGTTTTGGCACACGCTGCCCTATAGCCGTGTCCTGAGGGGAGAAGTTGAAACAGTTTATGTTCAGGATGTGAGGGGTCTGTGGATACTTTCTTAGCCCTCCTTCTGACCTGCACAATATTCAGGCCTTCTGTGGAAGGCAGGCTGGTTGCCATGGTGGCTGGAATGCAGTCTTGCAGGCTAATTCTGCTGACTGTCAGCAGTTTGATTCTTACTGGCTCAAGGTTGACTCAATTTCCCTACCTTTTGAGATCGGTAAAATGAGGACTCAGATTGCTGGGGGCAAAATGCTGACTCTAAAACTGTTTAGAGTGGGCTGTAAAGCGGCATATAAGACTAAGTGCTATTACTATTGTTCTTTCTGAAGTCTTGACTATCTGTTGAAGTCTGTACCTGTTCTGTTTGGTTGCTGTACCAAATCAGGCAGTTAGACAGTTATTTAGAGTTAGACATTTAGAAGTCCACTTTTCTCTTCTCCGCTGTTGTTTCTATGTTTTCAGCTCTTTCATATACATTTTGATTCCTTTTGTTTGTTGTAAAGCATCTCTTTGTAACATTTTGTACTTTTAAATTGCTTTAGAAGGGAATTCAGTGGAGATAAACAACTAGCTCAAACTGGCAGATTGAGGGACAAGCAAGATATTTAGTGTTATGTCCCGAGCCTTTGCAAACGGCTCGGGCGTTTGCAGGCAGTCCCGGGCAGGTGCAAAGCTGCCCGGGACCAGACAGGCTGTCGCCAGCGCCGTGCGCATGCGCGGGTGCTGGCGCGGGAAAAGTAACCCATTTACCCGGGAGTTGCCTATATAAGAGGCTGCGAGGCGTTTGGGCGAGGCTGAAGCCATCTTCCTGTAAGCTGAACGCTGAATAAAAGAAACTGAGAACTCCAGCTGCTTCTCGTGTCTGTTTCCCGCCACGGACTCAACACTGGCGACGAAGGTGGGATGCCTTGCACTACCTGGAAAGGAAGAAGTGTAAGCTTACCCAAGGAGTCCTGAGCGGCGGAAGAGGAACGGCGTCGACTCGGCAGCTGCCCGCCAATCCGGTGCGCATTCGGGGGTAGGCTGGCTGATAGACCCGTCTCCTGAAGATCCGAAGATGGCGAAAATCGGAAGGCTTTCGGAATTCGACGTCTCACATCCAGAGCGGTGGGAGTCCTACGTATCCAGAATGGAGAACTACTTCAAGGCAAACCAAGTGAGGGAAGATAGCTTGAAGGCGGCCACCCTGCTTTGCGTTTGCGGCCAAGACGCCTTCGAAATCGCAGAAAACCTTGCAGCACCTGTCCCAGTAGAGTCTGTAAGCTACGCAGACCTGAAGAAGCTGCTGAAGGAGCACTTCAACCCCAGGGTGTCCGTTATCTCATGGCGCCACACCTTCGAACAAAGAGATCAACGGTCCGGTGAGTCAGCCAAGGAATACATCGCCGCGTTACGGAAGGCCGCCAAGCCCTGCGAGTTCAAGGACCTCGAGGAACGACTGAGGGACCGATTCGTGTGCGGGTTAAGGCATCGCGAGCTACAACAGAGACTTTTCGCAAAGGAAGAATTATCCTTCCAAGACGCCTTAAGGGAAGTCACCGCAGAAGAAGCAGCAGGCGGCGCCGTCAAAAACATGCGGCCGATCAGAAACAGTGCAGAGGGTGCGTCCGTGCACCAGGAAGACGTCTGACGAAACTCCGAGGAGGATCCGGACGAGGAAGTCGACCGTCTACACCCCGCGAGGGAAGAAAACCAGAAGGGAAGCTCTTCGGCTCCGCTCAAGTGCATCGGCTGTGGAGGTCGCCACAGGAGAACCGACTGCAAGTTCCGCTCCGCTACCTGCCGGGCATGCGGTAAACAAGGGCATATTGCAGCTGTGTGCCTGGGCCGACAAAGGCACAACCCCAAGAAGAACGCCTGAAGGGTACCAGATTCCCCAGCCAGAATAGGGTAGGTTTTTGCGCTTCGCGAAGAAGCATCTGTAGAACAGGCACACACAAGCCCATGAAGAAAAAGCTGTCACTCAACGTGAAGCTACAAGGGGTTCCATTATCTATGGAACTAGACACAGGGTCTGCCCTGTCCATCATTTCATTGCATACATTTAGGAAGATTTGTTCCAGAAGTGGGTCTAAGGCCAAGTTAAGGCCTTCTGATATTGTATTAACAGATTTTCAGAACTCAAGAGTGTGTGTTAAGGGGGAGGCCACCCTTAACGTGCAATACAAGAGTTTTGAAGGTCCACTAGACTTATTAGTAGTAGGGGGTGAACGAACGAGTCTCATAGGACTCGATTGGTTTGAGGCCCTGGGGATACACGTCACAGGACTCAATAGCTTACAAACACTCGACCTACAGGAAGTCTGCAAAGAATTTGCAGATGTTTTCAGCCCCCAGCTGGGCACATTCAAAGGACCACCTGTGTCCTTAAAGCTAGACCCCACTGTCACTCCCATTAGGATTAAAGCAAGAAGGGTCCCTTTTGCTTTAAAAAGTAAGATTGACACTGAACTAGACAAACTAATCCAACAGGGAATCCTAGAACCTGTTGATTCCAGCCCGTGGGAGACCCCCATTGTCACGCCTCTAAAGGCAAATGGGGACATTCGCATTTGTGCTGATTACAAATGCACACTCAATAAGGCATTGCAGCAACATGCCTATCCTGTTCCTGTGGTCAGTCACATTCTGGCCTCTCTCAAGGGGGGGCGTGTTTTTGCAAAGCTTGACCTAGCTCAAGCATATCAACAGCTGCCTGTTGATGATGATGCTGCCATAGCTCAGACCATTGTGACCCACAGGGGTGCCTTTAAAGTAAAAAGGCTACAGTTTGGAGTGAATGTCGCTCCTGGGATTTTCCAAAGCGTTATGGAAAACACACTACGAGGGTCATCCTGGCATTGTTCGTACGAAGGCTCTTGCACGCAGCCACTTGTGGTGGCCTGCTTTAGATAAAGATATTGAGGCTAAGGTACACGCATGCCACCTGTGCCAACGATCTCGCCCAGAGATGCCCCAAGCTCCTGTGCATAGATGGGAGGAAACACAGTCCCCATGGTCTAGGGTGCACATTGACTACGCTGGGCCCTTTCAGGGCCAGTTCTTCTTGGTCCTTGTTGACAGCCATTCAAAATGGCTTGAGGTTGTGCCTGTCTCATCCACCACCACTGCAAAGACTATTCAGGTACTGAGGGGGATTTTTGCTGCACACGGGCTGCCAGATGTCATTGTGTCCGACAACGGCCCTCAATTCACCTCCTCCGAATTCCAAGCTTTCTTACAGGCAAACCTGATTCGTCATGCCACGTCTGCGCCTTTTCACCCGTCCACCAACGGTATGGCTGAACGCATGGTGCGCATCGCAAAGGACGCCTTGAAGAGACTCACCTACGGGGACTGGCATCACAGGTTGGCTGACTTTCTCCTTTCTTATCGCACCACACCGTCCACTTCTACAGGGAGAAGTCCAGCTGAACTTCGTTGGGGGCGCCAACTTACTACTAGACTTGACCGGTTGCATCCGGACAGACTGCCTTCATCTACCTCACATCCTAGGGCACCTAGACAACTACTTGTGGGTGCCCCGGTTTGGGCTCGCAATTACGGGCCTGGTCATACATGGGTCCCCGCTTCTGTGTCCAGGATCACAGGTCCTCTCTCCTACGAGGTTGCCCTGGACAACGGTCGTGTCCTGCGTCGGCACATCGACCAACTTCGCTCTAGGCGAGACTTTTCTGCTGAGACTCCTGGGTCTTTTCCAGGGGGGGAGGGGGACCCTTTGGAGCAAAGGGAAGGGCAAGAGCTACTGCCCATCTCCACTGAGGGAGCCACAAACGGCTCGTCCCAAGGTTCTGCAATTGCTCCGAAAAGAAAGTCATGGAGCTTACCCACACAACAGGCACTCACGCCTACTCCAGCCAGGGAGTCACCCCGGGGGCATACTCACTTTCCACACACATCACACAGCACTCCAGCAACGGAGGATACCCGGGGGCATCCCAACAAATCATTCCCCGCAAGAGAGCTGGCACACAATTCCCAAGGTTGGCCTGACCTTACCCCAAATCCTACAGGGGGTCAAACATACACAGAGTTAGTCGAGGAACCAAGTCCCGACTACAACAACCCTAGCACAAATCAGGGAACACCTGAGTTTTGGGAAAGTACAGAAACCCACACGAGCCCGAACACAGAATGGGGTTCAGGGAATGGACAGCCTCCTGACAGGTCTTGGACTGACCTAGGAGGTTCTACAGAGACGCCCAGCAGCGGCTATCACTTCAAGGGGCCTGAGGGTCTACAGCTAGGCAGGTCAACCAGGTCACAAAGTAACAGAAGCCCTGGCCTGACGAGCCCGGTGGGCAAGCAAGCAGGCCAGGCATCGGGGCACAGTCCTTGGAAGACACCAGGGCACAATAGAGAGAACAGGCTCACATCTCCCTCCAGTCAGGGAACTCATGCTAGTAACCCAGAGCTGAGAAGGTCACAGAGAGCAAAGAAGTCTCCTAAATACTAGAGGATTACATAACATTGCTGGCAAGGCAAAAGCCAGTAATCAGTGGGAGCACTGGGGAGCAAAATGTCATATAAAATAAATGTTGTATGTTGGTAGTAGTTTTAGCCCGGGGGAAAGGGGTGTTATGTCCCGAGCCTTTGCAAACGGCTCGGGCGTTTGCAGGCAGTCCCGGGCAGGTGCAAAGCTGCCCGGGACCAGACAGGCTGTCGCCAGCGCCGTGCGCATGCGCGGGTGCTGGCGCGGGAAAAGTAACCCATTTACCCGGGAGTTGCCTATATAAGAGGCTGCGAGGCGTTTGGGCGAGGCTGAAGCCATCTTCATGTAAGCTGAACGCTGAATAAATGAAACTGAGAACTCCAGCTGCTTCTCGTGTCTGTTTTCCCGCCACGGACTCAACATTTAGCATACCATTTTACATTAAGATTACATCTATTGGTTTATTTTGTTTGTATGTATTAATGTCTGCATTAATTTGAAAGAAAGATGGAAACTGCTCACTGAGATTGGTCATTGGAATTCTATAGTTTGTCAGTTGAGGAGTGACAGTTGGAATGCCCAGTGACAGTTGAGAAGGGACGTTTTGGAGAAGAATAAAAGAGATGCTGGTTATTTGGCACTGGAGACTGTGAGAGACAGCTGCAACTCTCTGTCTGTGGCCACCAATAGAGGGATTTCGTTTTTGCTTCAAATATAATTCCACTGCTATTGCATAAGCTACCTATTACAGTGATACCAGCTCACTCAAACCACACTGCACTTAAAATTGTTGAGGTTGCAAAACATTGGTACAGTTTAAAAGAATTATTTGTGACAACTATCCCAGACATTTATCCAAGAAGAAATTGTTCCGACTGCGTTATAATTTTATTTGTGTGTCATCATGGATTACACATACATGCAACTACATAAATGAAAGCTAAACTATTCTATTTTGTTTTGTTTCAGCAAACTTACCATCACCAACATAGTTCATAGTCTAAGATATTTGCAAATGAGGAGTAATGAGGATCTTCTGGCTACCAGGTAGGTGACTTCCATTTATGTGAACTCTCATTGTTATTCTAAGTAGGATTTGTATTTAATACTTAAATAATATATCCTGTTCAGTTTGTAGTATATTGAAAGAATGATTAATGAGGGGCAGGATTTCTTTTGATATTCATAAATATCTGACATTTGTATACATCTCATGAAGTTCTCTAACTTTTAATCTAACTCTTTGCTTTTTTCTTGACAATTGCCTGAGTATATTTGATTTAAAGTTTTTAAATACATTGCTTTTTATAAGCAACTTAAATATTTTAGACATTTGAATGGGGACAACAATATTCTTTGTATCTGTAAACCACTAAGAGTCACAAGAAGCAACGGGTGGAAACTAATCAAGGAGAGAAGCAACCTAGAACTAAGGAGAAACTTCCTGACAGTGAGAACAATTAATCAGTGGAACAGCTTGCCTCCAGAAGCAGTAAATGCTCCAACACTGGAAGTTTTTAAGAAGAGACTGGACAGCCATTTGTCCGAAATGGTGTAGGGTTTCCTGCCCGAGCAGGGGGTTGGACTAGATGACCTCCAAGGTCCCTTCCAACTTTACTATTATTATTATTATTATTATTATTATTATTATTATTATTATTATTATTATTATTACTTAGATAGTGTGATGGGTGGCATATAAATTTGGTTAGTAAATAAATTTATACTGCTCAGAAATCTGTTGGAGAAATTTGCTCCCAATGGAATCAGTGGTGAATGCCTTTTACACCGCTGAATTATTCATTATACAAGTGGCAGAATAATAGTATAAATATACTGTATGTTGAGCTATTTTGTTTTGATTTTATTTCAGCAATTTGAAGTTCATGTACAATAAATCACTTAATGGGCAACTACCAAGTGAAACCGAATCTATGATTACAAAATGGTCAGTCTGGATTAATAGGGCCCAGTTTAGTGGTTATTTGTTTAGCATCTTAGGATGGATCCTGTGCATTACCTCCACAGCCACGGATCACTGGAGAATATGGCATATTAAAAGTAAGGACGACTTGTTTCCTGGCGTGTTATGGGTCGGAATATGGAGAGCCTGCTATTTGCACAGCACTCACCCAGAGAACAGATACGTCCACTGTGAGGAATTCACGGAAGACCTGAAGATGCTGCCCAGTGAAATTTTTTTAGCTCAAGATTTGTTGAGCTTGTGTTGCATTGTGGGAGCCGTGGGGATAACTTTCATGAGTTTCGCCTTGTGGAATGTTGTCAGAGCCATAACACACAAAACTTTTTTGCTCACTCTTTTTAATGTTGGAGGCCTCATGAATTTCCTAACAGGAATCATAATCTTAATTCCCATTTCCTGGAACGTTTATTCCATCTTGATTAACGCAGACATTATGTTTCCTGATACTTTCAAAATGCCTAGTTCTCCAGAGCACCAGGAGATCGGAGCTGCTATTTATATTGGTTATACTGCTGTAGTTTTATTATTGGTGAGTGGTGTTATGATCATCTGTAACAAACGTACTTTTCAAAACAGTCAAGAAAATCATGTTTTACCCCCAACAGTTGAATCACTGACAACAATTGACATTTGTACAAATATTGGTTCTTCTGTGACAATCGACCAACAACAGAAAGAGGAGCCCGAGCCCAGGGCTGATGCAGTAACATCTGTGCATAGCGCAAATATAAAGAAAGAGTCTTTACAATCAATGCAACAGCAACTGCTTGAGGTCCCTATTGTATTAGTTACTCCTTATGTGATAGACTCCCCCGCTGAAGGGGAGGAGGCAGTTAAGAGGCTGGACAGCAGGGAATCGCTCCCAGGGAGGAAGCATCACAGACCAAACTAGGAAAGCCTTTTCAAGGTATCTCTCTCTCTCTCTCTCTCTTGCGCGCGCGCGCGCTCTCGTATCTAAAGTAACTGCTTTGGCTTATTCACAGAAATTGATTTGGTTCCTTGTGCCTGACGGCATGCCAACAACATTACCGTCACAAAGGTGGAAGTTTTCAGTTGCTCAAACACATGAAGCCCCCTCCCCATCTTTCTTTCTGACTCACAGGCCCAGAGCCCCACGGTTCGACTCGTCTCACCTGCCTATTTCACCCCAAATACTCCAAATGAGAAAAAAAGCTATTAAACAATATTGTATAGCATTGTACATTTTAAACAGATTTTCTTTAAATGGTATATTTTTATAATGATATATATTGCATTGTAAAATATTGGTTTTTATATTCTATTGACAAATACTACTGTATTTATTTTGGGCATTCCCTATTTTGTTATTGTTTATTTACTGTACTGTATTTTGGTTTTGCTTTTCATTGTACAGTTACAAAATAATTCATTTCCTACTGAAAATAAATACTATTAAGAGTATTGAGCGGGTTCCGTTTCTATCTCCTTTTGGTCTGTGGTAGGATTGACTGTTCGCTTGCCATGTCAAAAGATCCTCTGGTTTTCAATCCTGCTTCTAAAGCTGTCAAAAATTCTGTCTGATTAGGGTTATGTATGTTATAGTTGAGGACTTTCTGAGCATATTATAGCCTAGTGCAGTGTTTCTCAACCTTGACCATTTTAAGGCATGTGGACTTCAATTCCCAGAATTCCACAGCCAGCAACGCTGGCTGTGGAATTCTGGGAGTTGAAGTCCACATGCCTTAAAATGGTCAAGGTTGAGAAACACTGGCCTAGTGGTTGAGTTAGACATGTTGACTGCCCATTTGAGTTCATTTGTCTCTTTGTTTCAGGAGTTTAGCTTGAGTAATTTGGTTTGGAATTTTGTTCCCCTTTTTCCCCTTAGAAATATATCCTTGAAGGTGGCTGTCAGCATTTTTGTGTTTACTGGGGCCATAGTTTGTTCCAGTTGCTCCTTGAGGCTGTCCATGGTTCATCACCATAAAACATAAGCTGACTAAATAACATAAGAAGAAAAAACAGAAGTCATCTAAAACATTAAGTAGGACAGACAGGCTGAGGTCATCCATGAAGACCAACTAGCAATCAGAAGAGACAACACATGGACAGACTCAACCATAGTTTCAACTGGGAATCTGTGACTATACTAAACCAAGCCAAACTCAAAAATGCTAGGGAATTTCTGAAAGCTTGGCATTCAGACAACCAGCCATGAATAACACATACAGATATACCACAGTTACATACCAATCAAGAGACAATAAAAAAAGGCTAAGAAGGAAAGAAAAAGACCAGAACACATCCTCTCCAGCAGTTTACACCCAGTTAAACAGGGATTAATGCCAAACAATCAAGCAGAAAAGAATACCCTAACCAAGGTACTATAGTACTAAGAGGAAAGCCATACTCCCCTCCCCTCCCCTCCCCCCCCCACTGGCCTGGCAAATTACAGGTTACTTATGATCATAATTGAAACCAGAAATTCCATTAAGCAAGGCAATTGTTAGGTAGTCACATCCAATTTTTTTCCATAGTTGTTAAGTGAATCACTTGCAGCTGTAAAGTTAACAACATGATTGTTAAGCAAATATGGCTTCCACCATTGACACCCCTGCTTGTCGGAAGGGGACAGGGAAAGTCACAGATGGTGATCACATGACCTGGGGACACTGCAACCGTCATAAATAGATGGCAATTGCCAAAGCAACCAAATTTTGATCAGATGACCATGGGGAGGCTGCAAAGGTTGTGAGTTGAGAGGACCAGTTGTTACTCACTTTCCAGTGCTGTTGCAAACTCGAATGGTCACAAAATGAATGGCTGTAAATCGAGAACTACCTGTATTGCATGTTAAATAAGGAGCAAAGCCCCACACGTTGGCACTGGTGACATTAATGACCAGCGATGTCAGGTAATGAAACACCAAGGTCAGAGCACACCGAGGACTCCACATTCCACCCCTGTGCTACAGAGATTCTCATCTCTTGGATCTTTATCCTGTAAATACAGAAATGAAGACATTGTATTTTTCAGTTATCCTATGTGGAAAGATGATGGGGTTCTTTCATTTTTTTTTTCAACAACTGTAATAATTAAATATTGATTTAATTTGAATTCTTGATACTTTATGTTGTCTTGTATTTCATTTACTTGCTAAGGATTACACAGCTTGAAATCTCCTTCCTCCCTGGTGTGTTCGTTGTCTTTGGATTCTCAAACAACTGTTTATCTGGCAACCCAGCCACTGCCTGACACTTGGCAAAAGACTCACATACACGGACACATAGAGCCCTAGATTTATCCTACCAGATTTATTTATTCTGAACAAGCAAACTTACAACCAAGCAAAGGAGTCACCCAAACGAATGTACTATTCAGAAGCAATTCTGCCAAGGGACCAAGACCTCTGGCAAACCAGGCTCTCAATTGTCGGGCCCACGGGAAACCAATTGTACCCATAAGATATCTGGGGCAGACCTCCAGAGGGCGTCTGGCCTGGCAGAGTATCCTAAAGCAGACCACGGCACTCCCAAACGCTCAAGCCCCACTGCGGCCCACGCCAAGGATGGAAAGCTTTCCTTGCTTCTCTCCCTGGCTGACCAAAGAGGCTGGAGAGGAGCACGAGGCCCTGGCCACCCCCTCTCCAAGGGACGAGGCCCTCTTGCTTTCTCCCCGTGAAACGGAGCCGCCTTCCTCCCAAGACCTTCTGGGCTGGCTTGTGATTCTGCAGCAGATTCTGCAATCTTTCAGGTGAAACTGAAAGAAAAGAGCTTGCACGAGGGAAGAGGGATCGGCGGGGAGGGAAAAGCCCTGAAGCAGTCCTCGACTTACGACCACAATAGAGCCCAATATTTCCATTGCTAAGCAAGGCAGTTGTTAAATGAGTCTTCTCCATTTTACAACCTTTTTTGCCAGAGATCTTAAGATAGTAAACGAATGGCTATAAGTCGAGGACTCCCTGTATTTCAGTGGAGGCTAGAAAGGGATCTTGACGGTTGGATTTATTGCAAGGTGTGTTTCCTGATCTGTTCCTGCAGTCAGAACAGAAGGACACAGCTTCTCCTCTGGCCCCAGGACTGAGGCAGGGAAGGACTGGTCAGTA